ATATATGCCAGTCAAGAATGTATCCTAATTTTCTTCTCTTCATTCTTTATTCTATTCACTAATGGAATTCGATCGTTAGTTATTCTTGCATCACCTTTGAACCAGCCGAAGAAAAATGACTACTGTATTAATACTTCTCGACTTCGATTAATCATATTCAATCGTTTCTAGGTTTTTTAACATACCAATTTGAGTTTCACAACGCGAGCCACCATAACCTTCATAACATGAACAATAAGGTTGATTGCTACGATCTTTGTTACAAGTTCCATGATTACATTGATAGTTTGAACATGGATCAACTACCACAGCAGCTAAAAGTACAGAACGAACAGGAGAAAATCAATTGAGAGATAAAAAAAGAAGATATAAAACAAAAGAACCTTGACTCAAATTAGCTTTTTTACTTGCACGTATAATGCTTTTGTTTGCATAGTTACCTTGATGCTGAGAAGAAGGGAAAGAGCAAGAGATAATATCATCGACAGAATATGTAATCCTCCTCACACACATACATACACATACATGTATATACCGTACACAATACACAGGCTGATCTATTTATTTCTCAAGGTCTTATCACCGGCTCCGACATCATTATCCCGTTGACGACAAATGGCATACAACTCAGCATGTCTTATCAAAGCAAGGAAGAAAAGTCGAGAACTGTTTACCTGCTTGTTCGCAGCGATATCCCGTAAATTGTGAAGGGCAATGGCAATAAGCTAAACTTGTTTGTGACGCAGGTTGAATACAATAGCCACCATTAAGACATTGGATTCGTTCGCAAGGTGTCCCTTAGAGAAAAAAAATACATGTATATCCAATGAACTAGAAGCTTCGTTCATAAGGGAGAATATATAATAGAAAATTGATAGAAGAAAGATTGTTACACTTACAACAGCCAAGGTAACACGGCATGTTGCCGCCTGGCCGTGCATCATATTGAGATGATCGAGAAGGTGCAGCTTCGGTTATAGTGATAATCAACAATAACGAAGCAAAGAATTTCATTGTATGTAATAATGAATATAACAAAAAAAGCGATGAAAAAGAAGCGTGTAACTCTTATATCAATGAATGCACGGATGGATGAATCACATCATTATAACCGACGACTAATGTTGAATATATATATGTATGTATATATATTTTTTTTTGTACTCTTTGCTTTTCTTAGCAAGGTCGATGAGTAATGTGTAGTTGTTGAGAATAGTAACTGTATATATATATCAAGAATGAAACAATAACGATGATGATAGCAAACGATAAAAGTCAAAGATAGAGATATAGATGAAAAAGACTTGGCAGAGGAAAGTCCTTTGCCAATAATAATGCAGGCAATGCAATGGCCGGTGTCGATTGATGATGGTGAATATCGTTTTGAGCTCGTCTCTTCTCTTCTCCTCCTCCTTCTCCCACTTTTCTCTCTCCTTCTCTCTGTGCAATCGTAATAGAAACACGAGAAATAAAAAGACAGAGACGGAGACAGAAAAAAAGAGAGCAACGGTGTAAGACGCAAACAAACCGCAAAATGGCGGTGACGGTGCTGCTGGCAGAGAAAGAGAAAGAGAGAAATATCTCAAGAAAAATCAACTATGTATGAGTAATACACATAGAAAGAAAGTTAGAAATGTAGAATGCCTAGTAACATCTTGCATTGGAACGAACAATATATATCAACAAAGCGAGAAAAGACGCTATACTAACAACATTTCTACTGTTTTCTATCTATTTATCGCTCTTTTCTCTTCCTTTATCAATAATACTAATACCGAAACCACAAGTCGTTGTCCTCATTGTCGTTCTCTTCCTACATTTTTGTTCTTTTACTCTTCTGTATATGTTGACTATACATGTATGTATGCTCAAGCACACGTACAAAGGAACGAAGAAAGAAAAGGAGGGAGGGAGGGAGAGAGAGAGAGGAAAAAGAAGGACTAAAGCAACAGAAAAAAAACTTCTTATTAACATAAAAAAAAAACTACACATAAGAACGATCGTGTATATATGTATGAGCGCACGTTTATGTTGTACGAATTGGGCCGTTAGTAGTATTGTTTGATGTAGAAACGACAAAAAAAAATAAAAGTAAGGGTGTGTGTAAAAAAATTTGTTACGAATATGCGCCAACAGGAACGATAAGTTTGTCAAAATGCACATTCACTACAGTTATGCTCTCTCTCTCCTTCACTACCATCAAGCGTCGCCTCAGCTCTCTTGACATTGTCGTCGCCACCTCTCTATTGAATCAAACTTCAAGGCAATATCCACACTTGCATACATACAATCTCGAATAAAAATTTATTAACAGCAATGATCTTAGATCACCTGAGCAAATATATAGATGTTGATCGAAAGGAAAAAAAGGCGAGTACACGAAAGGCTTCTAGTCATCAATGTCTAGTTTTACATATTGATAAAACTTACATTCAGGTATGTTGGCACGATTATTCCAAGTAACACTTCGATCATAATCGATTAATCCCGGATTATGAATCGCGTTTTGTATTAAATTTTCGTAATGATTATCAGCTGTAAGAATAATCTATTATACAATTTCAATGAAAATCTTTTCGATCAATAACCGACAAGAAATTTGTCGTTCTAGGTCTTCACTTACATCTTGAATATATCCATTAAAATTTCTTCCACATATATGAATTAAATTATCTGCAAACAGAGTAAAGTGCTCAGTAAGATTCGTGTAATGCCGTGTTTCTTCATCAAATGTCAAATCAATCTGAAGTGAAAAGAAAAAGGAAAGCAATATGAATGATGATGACAACAACGGAACTAATATACTGTGTTCAATGTTTTCTGACACTGCAATATATGCCATTGATCATTCCGTACGCGGCCAGGAAAATCATATGTATAAATTATTCCGCCATTTTGAATGATTAAACGTGGATAATAATCCTAAATAGTAACGAAAATTTAATTAAAAAGAAATCTCGATTTGCTTATCGATTCACTTGAAGGATAATTGATACTTGAATCGAACCATTCTGTGTCAAATATAGAGTTGAATTGGCTGCCGTTGTAAATATTGTTAAATATATTTGTTCATATTCGCCCGGTTCGATATCAGAGAAATATCGTACGAGTCCTTTTTTATTAAAATCAAATGTCGAGGGTGTGCACACAACTGAACAATCGATCTGACCACAAAATTGTAAACTTTGAATCGGTTCACAAGGCGTCTGCTTATCGCAGATCGAATCTTGCTCGTAAAAACAATCATAACGATCGTATTTCACAATTCCTTCAGGTAACAATAGTTGATGATTATACGTCAGATTAGCAAAACAAGCAACAAGTAAATTACTTGTTGATGTTCCTCGTCGTGAACCGCCAACGGTTAGAACATCAAAAAATAATAACGAAGATGACGGCAGTGATATTTGACTTGCTCGTTCATCGATTTCTATGTAGATATTTTTATATGAAGTTAATTTAGATATCTGCCGGGATATGAAAAGATCATGTTGTCGTCCATCGTTAATCGTTTGATTATCTTGGAAGAGTATCTCCGAGATGGTGTTATCATAGGAATGATATTTCCAAACTAATTGGCCACGATTTAAATAGAAAACAAATGTATAGTCATCATCAGAATGAAGCGACAAGAGAATTCCGTCGGACGAACGAGTTTTGATCGATAGTTGACAGTGATAGAATTCTTCATTGAATGGAATTTCCACTTCAACTATATCGTGATCATCACGTACAGAAAAACTGATCTCTGACGACATATATGATATGAAATTTTTGCCTAGAACGAAACAAAAAAAATAATCTGATATCTCTCGATCTTGACAGGTAGAAAATAAGCGTGAAAATGTCGCCAACAGACTGAGTATGAAAATGAATATCGAACATATTATGTCACAACTTTATCAAGGTTAAATCAACAATTTTCAACAATGTTCTCTTTCGCTCTTGTTTATCATAACTAACAAAATGAAGAAAGTTATTGTTCCATTTCATAAATTTCGTTCTAATTAATTTTCTCTTCTCGCTTCTTCGACAAATTTATTTGACACATCGAATACTCTCATGACTCATTGCGAAACGATTAATGAAACAAACGCATTTTTTTCAATCAACTTACGTCCACGTTTTGTTAATCGACACGTGTCTCCCAACCGGCTTGACCGATATATATGTTCCCGTTTAATTACTGATTTATCATTTAACAAGATGTCCTTGATACAACCGAGAAAATCTTCTCCGTCTAAATCGTAATACTTTTCCTTAATAAATCCATCCAGTTGTCCCATGTAAATCGTGTGAATATAAAATAGACTAACAAATTTTCGAACGATTTGAACATTATCCAATTGAAATAATAGATGGTCTTTATGAATTAATCGAATGATTAATTCATGTTCAATTCGATCGTCGATCGTTTGGTTCATGGAAATTTCCATGCGCTCAAGATATTGATTGATAGAGGTTATAACTAGACGTTGTTGACGAACACTTATTAAGATAAGATTTTCATAAGTTGTATCGGTTAATGAACAGATAATGCCGTCAGATTCTTGCGTATAAAATGAAAACGAAAATGAATAGAATTGTTCAGATTGGTCAAGAATAACCACAACTGGGCGATCGTATTCTTCGAATGCGATTATCTGATCAGTATAAACATCATGAAGAGACTTTAAACGAATGTTATTCGAAGAACAATGTTGACGATGGAATGGAATATGCTCAAATAGAAATAGTTGATCATTGTAAGTGACATTTTGTATACAACCAAGGAAATCATTGTGCCAACCAAAGATCAAACTTTCGATGATTAATGGAGAAGAAAGCTCGATGGAAACTATTTTGTTGATATTTAACCATACACGAAGAGTTTGATTAAATAATTCGAATCGTATAAAATACAGATGTCCATCATTGATAGGATTTTGTTCGTCGGAAGAAAGAATTCTTTGTAAAGGATGGTTTCGAACAGCAAGTGTCAAGTGACCATCAATATCGATGTTTATATCGATATCATCGGAATGTAAAAGTGTGCTGATATTGGAATAAGTTTGAAAGACAAATGCTAGACTGCGGAGAGAAGAATTGGTTGGAAGTGATAAGCTAACCTCTTGATTATCATTCGGTAGAAAAGTAACCGTTTGAGATGAATTCGATTGAGTAGTTGTTGACAAATCTTTCGCATTTTCATCGGAATGGTTTTCTTCCCTAAGGATTAGTGATCGACCTGCATTGCTAACGACGATCTAATTCAGACAAACAATGATAATCACATACAGATGTTTATAGACTAGAAAACTATTTCTTAAAAACGAAGATCTTTATTTTCAATTTGGTTCGTTTAATGCCTATTGATTATTTTTCTAGCATATATATATATATATATATATATTAGAAGAGATTCTATCTGCCATTGCCTTGATCTATTAATTATATCATACTCAATCTTGTTTAGACATTCATCCGAGAACAGCTCCATTAGTCAATTGTCTGTTGCTGAATTATTCAGTGTTAAACAGTGTCTGTCGTCTTGTCAACAGTATGTAGAAAGACCTTTGGCAACTAATGTACTAATTACATCGATATCTTGATTTGTCTAGTTGCTAACCTTGTTAGTTCAAACGTATGTTAGACTTACATCACCAATTTTACCAATGTAATCATTATTAGGAACAGGTGTTAGTTCACTGCCAATAAATATATTGGGAGTTGTTTGCCATTCGTTAGTTAAGTTGAGGGTAGATTCTTCAATATTGTCAAGAATAAATCGTAGCTAAGAATAAACAAATAAATAAATAAATAAATGAGAGTTTAGTATTCTGTTGTATGAAATGACAAACCGTATGATTCAGTCGTTGGACATACAGTCGATGCCATTGGCCATCATTAATCGGACCGGAATCGTTTTTTGATGTCAATATCAAATCAGGTAGTTTATCTTGTGAGAAAATGATTTTCAGTTGATGATACTAAAAAGGAAATTTACATCGATCTGTGGACTGAGAATAGTTTATACCTCGATAGTGAATACGTAATTGATGTTCTCATAAGCGAAACCAGCAAGAATCGTAATCGGTTGTGAACTTCGTTGGTTAGTTTGAATGACAAATGTAATCAATTCATCGCTCGTGTAATCTTCTTCATCGGTGATATATTTCATGTGTGAATTTGTTGCTAACGGATAGTCAATAATACTTCGAGGTATTTCATGATTGAGGTTCACTGAATCTTTCGATAAGAACTTGTCTAAATAGAAAGGAAATCGAAGTAATCAATGAATAGAATTGGACGATTATCAACGAGAACAGACACTCCACCATCTACTTGAACTTCAGAATGAAAATACATGCGAGTTACTAGTGCAACTCTTCGCAGTAATGTACTCAGCAACTTACCAGTGATAAACGTGTCGTTATACGACTTGAGTATAGTGGAATTCTGACTATCACGATGAGAATCTTCAGCACTCGTGTCCGATCGACACATATATTGTTGAACATGACACAAGATTACGTGAATGAACAGAATTCGGATGATCCAACACATTTGTTTGAATCAAATGAATCTATAACCATAAATTTTTTGTGTTCAACGTGATACGGGAATGATTTATGTGAGACAATCTAGATTAAGATAAAGAATATCGATATTTACACTTGATCTTGTTCTATACACTAGTCAATAACTATAATTAAATGTTTTAATGAATGAAAGAAAAACAGATTTTACCTTTCGATCAAATCGACACACTGTTCAACGTCGTTTCTTCTTGTCAAATGTCGTCTGATCTGTGCTTTAAAAACGAATAATGAGAACGGAAAGAGAGCATAAGACTAACCAACATGAATGACGAATACGAAAAAAGGACAAAAGAATAATTTCTCTTTCTGAACTCTGGTTGAAAAAATCAAATTATATTAACATCATCCAGGGAGGAGAATGAACGATTTAATCGTATTGATGGTCAATAACATTAAAATCGATTCATGTCTGTCTTCTATAGAATTCAACGACATGTTCACTATGTATTCTATGCATAAGTTGAAAAAAGAAGAAGAAGAAGAAGAAAGGCACAAACATTAAGTTCTATGAAATAATTGCCGATAGGAACACAATGACATGTGTTCATCATTTTGTTCTTTGCACTGAACACAAACGAAAACAACAATTCCAATTTAATTTCTTCGTTTTACATTTCGATGTAAAATACATCGCGTGAGTGAGAGAAAATTAAACTGTAATCTCACTTTTGTGTGTATACTTTCACACATTAGATCAATTTTACTTTCGCTCAAGAAAAGAAGCTTCGCATAGCAAGATGTTCTATGATGTAACGTTATCCTATCCTAGAAAAACATCACAAATATCTAGTCGACTGACTTGCTGAGATAAATAATCTGATTCGTTCAAGCATATGATTTATCTAAGATGACACATTCTCGAAAGACTATGATACAATCAACAAGCATAATGAAATGTATTCATATATTGTTTTGTGTTTTCTTTGTCGAGACTAATCTTACGGTGAAAGAATGATAAATTACTTTTCAATTTCTCTTCAACTAATGTCGAATTAATTGAAAAGATCGTCTACATGAAATGTTCAATACAACAAAGACTTTTCACTGCGTCACTCACATTACTTGTTTAAGAGGATATCTTTCCGTATTCACCCATCGAAAGCACTGCTACAAACACTGAACAAATGTAAACGATAGAATATGTAATTAGGATGTTGTGGAAAATATCTTCAGACTAGAGCACAGGAGTAAAACATTCATTATGTGGTATATTTTATTGAAAAAGTGCGCTTTTTACGCATGATTTGCGGACAAATAACTCCCGAGGTATATTCTCATTTATGAATACAACTATTTCAAATAATTTGCGTGATATCAGACGACTTGAAGGATATATTTTTCGACTGTTCTTGCCGAAAGATATCTCGAATCGAAATACTCGGTGATAATTTTCGATTATTCACATTTATTTATTGATTTTTGTGGAATTCTTTCAATAAACAGATTCATCTTGTTTTCTTTTGGATATTCGAACCATTAGGTCATTCTCCGTATATATACACACGCATATAGATTGTCAATGACATATAATAATCAAAGACAAAACAAGTTGTCAATCGTTTTCAGTGGCAATGATGCGTGTGTCGTCTAAGTTATCGTCAAATATGCATGTAATCGATATGATCAGCATTTGGAAATATCATCGATGCATCTAGAAACGTACTGAGAATCTTGTTTCGATCATTAGATCTGTATAGGCCATGAAAATGTCGACGAGTTATTTGACACATGTTTTTCTGTTTTCCTCGATCGATTTGATTGAAAATATGAAAAATCTCGATGTACTATCAAAGTTCTTGGAATCGACAGTTATAATTTATTATGAAAGCAATGAAAATATTCAAAATTCTGAATAAATAAACGATTTAAACGAAGAAAAACAGTAATCAGAGATCGACAATGAAAGACAATCTCTGCGATTTGTCAAGAACATATCAATATTTATATTTCAAACTTTTGTATACAGATGAAATGAACGTTAGATAACCTTGATCTTGATTGGCCAAAGGTATACGGAAATCGTTGAAAAAAAAAACAATCGTATTTTCATATATTAAAGATTACATTTATTAAAAATTGTTCACACTCTTCCGTCAATACAATCTTACATCATGAAACAAAATCAAAGATATAAGAAATTTCAATCTATAAGATAGTGCATTTCTTCTTTTTTGTTTTTGTTTTTTGAGGAATTGTCGATCTGTTGCTAATACCATTGGAGGCTACTGGTCTTGCCGGAGGAGTTCTTCTTCGATCATTCATACGATCTTGATTTGCTGCATTGTAAGCATCTAGAGAGGTTTTCGCCGCTGCAGAACGATTTTCTTGACCGAAATTATCTAAGAATTGATCACGATACCGAGTGTCATGTTCACAGCGAAAAGCATTTTGTTGTCGACATATGGAACAACGATAATCATCACGAACACTTGGTGAACCTGACTGCAATGCCATTGGTTTTTGCCAAATGAATGTAAAAGAAAGAGATCTGAAAGCGAAAATAAACTGTCACGTACTCAGTCAAAAATTTCATGTTGATTTCTATCCAATTTTCAGCGAAATCATACATGACCTTGAGGAATTCATGATTCACTCGATGTATAGACTTTCAGCTTCAGTGGGTTAGTACAATCATATTTACGAACAAATATGAAGTCGACTTTTCAATTCTTCGGCCAATGACATATGGAAATTGAGTATTCGTACACTAAATCATTTGTTTGCATTGAATTCAGAGAAATTCAAGCATTTACTCTATTGAAATATGCTGTAGTCTGTATAATTCTGTCTTCGTCTATATAACAGCACAAAAGAGAATGAAAATCACTGTTCGTTTTGAATTTTGTAACATTTTTTCTATTTCTTCGAATGTTTGCATAGGTAACAGTAGGAAATATACATGCGTCGTGTGTTTTTTCGATCACAACGCCGAAAAATGTTGTTTAGACAACCAAGCAATGAAAGCATAATAAAACTCAAATGCGTAATTATCTTTTTATTCTACAAAAATAATTATATATTTCTATGAATGACCATAATGCTACAGGGAATTGATCTAGATAGAGAAAATATGTGATTTTCTTTTTTTCTTTTTGAGAAAAAAAATCACACTTCAGTGGTATAAAAGATGAAGTGTTTTGCATGACTTTGTATTACGCGAAGCCACGATGTGTAACGAAGTCATGAAACAAACTTCGATTGATTTCAAGAACATTTGCCATTGAGTGAGTAATGAATTATGACAATTTCTTTCTCTACACATATGACACACGGAAATTACAAAGTAAAACTTGTAAATGAATTTCCCGAGACCTACGACGCTCGTTCATGATTGTTTGATCTTTGAATAGAAAGTCGATAACTATAGGTAAACTGTTACATAATCCAATGTTAAATGTAATTAAATTCTTCCTGAGAAAAACAATGGAAACATAGAACTGTTGGCTTAGCGGTTGTGTCAGTTCCTGCATCGATTAGAACAGTATTTTAATGCCAAACAGTACAATAATTGACTAAACATGTTTGTCTATGGAAAGATGTTGCTAAACAAACAATAGAATACATTTAAACAATCACATTAGCAAAATTTTCTTTGATATTTATTTACATAGTAGTGAATATACGTGCAGATGAAATTTGATGTATTCATCAATCATCAAAATAGGATAATTTGTCTTACACATTCGACTTCTAGCAGAAATCTGTCATCTGAATGATGCTTAGGATAATCGATCTCGTTTTGATTCATGTTTGTCGGAATTATCACATCAATTATTTTCATGAACCAATGAATAAATAATTCTAATGCCGATTATGAAAATGAGTTTGTTAACACATGTGTCATAGAAGCTAATCGTGAGGTCAAAGTAGAAGAAAACTATAGCGCATTTCGTTATGTGTCAAAAGATAAAAATATATACTTTCAGTTTATCATTGTTGAAAAAAACATGCAAAGGTAGATGAAACTAATCTTATATTTGCATAAGAAGAATGTAGAAAAAAGGGACATTTTACATTAATAAGTACTGACTTTCCCTTGACATTTACTTTTGAAACGAAAATTTCAACTTTATTCGTATATGTTTCCATTAGCACCATCTTTTGTTTAAAAAACGAATAAAGGCATTGAACACTATTAATATGGCTGACAGATAAGCAAATGATATCACTTGCTGAGTCATATGTAACCATGTGCGTTTCCAGTGAAATGATAGATAACCGGTAGAGAACAAAAAAAAATTCATATCGTTTTAGATATTAATTTCAACAAAATAGTCAAATATCACTATGGCAAGTTCACCTCCTTCATCCGTTAAAAGTGAACCAACAGGAGGTTTATATTCCGCTCATGAACCAAACTTATCATACGCGTCGGCATATGATACATCACTCGAACATACTTTACCTCATGCAACTGATGATGAACCTGCTGCCTCATCATCTATTTTTATTGATGCACCGGTTCTTCCATCAAATGATGCGCCTTTCGAACTTCTGCAAGGATTTTCTGCACCAACATTGCCTGTCTATATCAATATGGGAATGAATGATACAGCCGATAATGTCACTTTTGCAGGACCAATAACGACAACTGATCCGCCATTATCACGCTCACTAGCAGCGATTGATGTTGACCATCCAGCACCTTCTACAACCGCTGCAAGACATAGCCATCACCATCATCATTTTCCACACCATTCACAAGCTCGTAATCGCTATCCGTATTTACAAAGACAAAGTTCAAAAGGACTTCATCGAACATCGGAATCGCGCAGTAGTCTCGAAGGTTTACCTTATTATGAGCAACGACCTGCTTTTCGACGTTCATATTTTGCTTTAAGACGGCAAAGAATACCCAAAGGTTTGAGAAAAAAATCAAAATATCTTACAAAATTTTATTCAAAAACTTTTCTGTTCTTTTTAAAGCTCCACCCATGCCAAAACATCTATTTCCTGGGTACAGACAAAGTAGAACAATGTCACCAGCAAATGAGACCGATGATAATGAAAATGAAGACGAAGACGACGATGAAGGTAATTTGTTGTCCTCATGCCTATTATTTGATTTCAATCGGTAGTCGCTCATTAAGTAAACACCTTAACTGAGATCTAGTACGGTACCAGTCTTTTTCTGGTTCGAATTCTTCTAGTTCAATAATATCAGTTTGTAATCGATCAACATCAGTAATCATTACTGTTGGTAATGGAATCGTTTTCATTGGCGACTTTGCTGGTGATAAACATGTTTCATGTGTCAGTTGACTCATGATTGTATTTGTAGATGATTGACGTTCGAAATTCAATTGATGAGTTGAAGGCGTTGAGTTCATTGAGGGAACGGCTACTGAACGTGTTGACATTTTGTGATCGAAATTCTCATTCGTTGACGCCAACGATGACTGAGAATAAGCAAAGTTTCGGTAGGCTGAATAGTAGTATAACGGTCGATCATTGTCAATAGATGACGATAACGTTGATGAACTATAGGCTAAACTAGAAGTCCCTGTTGGAGATGGAAATGCTAATGCAAGTTGCTCTTCTGATATTCGTTGACATGAGGAAATATAATATGGATGTTCATGATTCATGCTAGGTTTTTCGGAAATAAAGGATACTGAAGTCATAATACTTGTTTGATCATCCAAGCCATCGTCGTCATCGTTGATTTCATTCTCAGATGTATAATCTGCAGCCGATGTTCGCTTCGAATTTAAAAATATTGTCGACGGTAGATTTAATGGTAGAGTATGAATAGTGGAGAGCTTTTTACTAGATTTCTTTTTCAAATATCGATATGTCTCGATAGACAGGAAGATAATACCAATAATTAACCAAAGAAAACATATTGAACCAAATATAATTAGTAGACGTTGAAATAGTATTAACTGATCTATTTGATTTGTTGACATGATTAAGGCAAAGTGTCATCATATTAAATATAATGAAGGATCACGGTGATTGGCAGCTTATATTGGGATAATATCGATTGAGAAATTATCATTCTTTTTATGCTGATAGTTTCTCGTTACATGAAGATGTGAATGTCTATCGTTAATATATTCCTGTCTCTCTCTCTCTCTCTCCCTCGTCGTTCTCCCTCCTTGCTTCATCTTCTTCCTTGAGTTTTTTTTGGAAGACGCTTTTGTTCTGTCTAGATGTGAGTAAGGAAACGGAAGGAAAAATTAGCGGTCGGGCACGCATTGAATAGAACGAAGCGCGTATAATCATCTGAGCTAACGTTATTGTTCCATAGCTTCTCACGCACACCGAGTTGAACATCCATTTTCATCATAGAACGAGTGAATTATATGTTTAACCATTGTTCGATTAATTCTATAGATTCCTATTCGCACCTGATCATCAATCAATGTTCAGGAAAACATATTTTCCGTCTTTGTATGACGACAGTTGAAAGGACAGGATACGTGTTTTCAAGATCAAACACGAAAAAAAACATGTAGCACTATGACCTTCACACATCAAATTAATTATATTATTGTAGGAATGTGCGTCAGAATGAGAGACTTGGGCATATTCAAATGAGTACTGTAAGGAATTTTGAAAAGAAATTCTTGGTCAGAATACATGAAAAGCAAAGTGGCGCGGCTTTTGTGAAAATCTAATTGGCAAACTGAGCATGAAAAATCACATTAGTGATATAAATGACTAAATCTATACAGCGTAATTATGTCAAGAGCTAAACAATCATACTATTTCCTTGAGAGATGTTACTCCATTAAACAAAGTGAGACGACATCATGCTTCGTTGTCTGACAAGCAGTCGCAGACATTAATGAAGAAAACGTATTGAGACATTTGGAGTCTGGACATCCCAATGTGTCTAATCCTAATTCATTTATCAGAACATTAACACCCGTCTCGTTGATGAAATGATCATCCTCGAATTTTTCCATTGTAGATCAACCGCCGAAAAAGAGTTTATGGATTATTTTACGTTTGGTTCTGTTCTTCTTTGCTATTGAATTTATGTATGCTGCTGAAACAGCACTCACCGTTCCTATTTTAACTTCCCTACGTGTACCGGAATCGTACGTTTGATTAAAAGTCAGCAAATTCTCTTTTGAAATCCTCTGTCTGTTGAGGTTTTATTCTATGGCTTGGCTAATAAGTCCTATTCTGGGATTTTTTCTACAACCAATCATCGGCATGTGGAGCGATACATGCAAGTGCCGATGGGGAAGACGACGACCTTTCATTCTAGCGTTTGCTATCGGTAAAACCTTATTTAACAGGAAAATTTCTATTGAAATACTTAACTTCTAACATTGTTTAGGCGCTTATATTGGTGTAGCATTGCTGCTCAATAGCTCTGATTTGGGCGTTCTCTTTGGAGATCCTACATCGCCCGGAACAGTCTGTTAAAATCTTTTTTTGCCGATTGAACTGTAATGCTGTTTCTAATTTTTTTAAAGGTCCCATACAGGGCAATTGCACTGACTGCCGTAGGTGTGACTTTACTCGGTAAGACAACTGTGTTTGACGATCTCGAATGAAAAAATGATTGTGTACGATACAGACTTTTGTGCGGATAGTGCTGATGCTCCCATACGCGCCTATTTGATTGATACAACGAATACAGCGGATCAAGAACGAGGATTCAATATTCACGCTATTCTCGGTAAAGTGCAACGACTTATTTGTGAAGCTGATTGATTCATACTTAATTTTTAGGAGGTAGATCATAATGAACTAGATGACATGGAGGAGATTTTGCTGTGCTTTCAATAGGTTTTGGTGGTGGTTTGGGTTTTATTGTCGGAGCAATCAATTGGCCGTACATTCCGATGTTTTATAAAGAGGGTAAAGACGAGAAAAGATTGTAGGCAAAACAAACACTCAGTTGATTTTCTTTATCCTAGGTGGTGAATTTAGTATCATTTTTTATGTTGCAAGCCTTTTATTTATCGTGTGTTCTATATCAACATTAACAAGTGTTCGTGAAGAACCTCTTATATCTTCATCTTCGCGTGACAATGGTGATACAGGTAATTCGAATGACGATGATCAAGCAGAAATCGAAGTTGATGAAAAGCGTCCATTACTTTCTCTTCGGCGAAACAGCTCTCGATCATACAATACAAGTAATAGAAATGATCGCTCAACAGCTAATATATACTTAAGTGACTTGAATAATCAAGAAGGCTTTGTGGAAATTGATCCTGCCACAGGTAGACATATTCCTCATGATCACATAGAAAGAACATGGCGTCGTTCAGAAATTACGAGGAGTGTATTCTTTCTGAGAGAAGTACAGATGTACCACGTGCGTTAAGTTTAAATCAGCTGTAGTACCACTTATCTTTCTATAATCGAAGCTCAGATCGAGAGATCTTCTGAATAAAATGTATATAGGCTCTGCTATCAGATACTACACCGATTACATAAGCGTAAAAAAACATTATGTAGACCATACGCGAAATGAATATCTACCTTTTAACATTTGAAATAACAAACTAATTATCTTATTCTATATGCGATAAAAAACAAATGTTTAAATTTTGGTGATTATGTTAGCCGTTGTTGTTAACATGCCAAACTCCTTCATGTAGTGATCCAGGACAATAAAGCATCATTCTTCTCTATATGTGCTGCAACTATTCAAGGTCGTATCATCCACGTTTGAATCAATATCACTCTGTATTTCGTTTCGGACAGGTGGTATGAGTTTGGCTTGACAAAGAGTTTTCCAATAGTAATTTTGAAAATAGTATAAATTACGATATAAGTACATTAATAGGGCTATAAGCAGGTATTTAGTCGAACGAATAAAATGAGATGAAAGATAGTAATGACGTCGGGTTTCATATCTTTTTTGGGTAATTTCAAAACGAATGATATCATTTACAGAATAACTATCGATTTGCACGTAGCATCCTGCTTTGGCTGCAATTCTCTCTCTTCCTCTCTTGAGATCAGTTGCTTATATGTCATTCATGGAACTAAAGAATTCAGTTAAACTGAAATAAGCTGTAGGTTGAAATTCTGTTCGAAAAGTTGGCGTTATTTCTGAATAAATATTAAGCGAAACTATATTATTACAAAATTTGGAAAACTCTCATCAAGTTGTAGCTGCATCAATAGCCAATGCTGATCCAGCAAATCCTGCACCCGTTCCAACACAAGCATTCGAAGCTGAACTTAAACAGAAGGCAAAACTCGTCAAGCTAGGTGAATTGATTAAATCACTAAACTTGATAAGCATTTGAGATCTGTTCTTTAATTAAACAACATAGGTCTAATGCGTCGTCCAGCGGCGGATGAAAACGATGATTACGATGAAAAAGATAATGTTACTATCAAGTCAATGCTTATCTCAATGGTTCGAGTATGTAACTTGTTTTCTCTTGGCTTTTCAAATACAAATATATATATATATTCATACTTTAATTACTCAGATGCCGCCTCGATTATGGAAACTGATGATATGTCAAGTTATTGGTTGGATTGGTTACTTTGCTACTCATTTGTATTATACCGATTTCATAGCTACGGTATATACCATAATTCTAACAGACTTGAATTGCTAATTTCCGTCTTTCAAGACAGTATATAATGGCACGTTCGAGCATGGTGATGATGCTGGTTTAGAAAGATATAAAACTGGTGTTACAATGGGCTGTTGGGGTCTATTTTTATACTCAGCCAGCAGTGCAATTTATGCCTGTAAATCAAGCGAAATCAATATCTCCTTTTACAGCGTTTACTTAATAGTGCACCTATTTTAGTTTGCTTGGAGAGATGGTTATCAGAAAAGTTTTCTCTGAAAACACTGTATTTCCTTGGTTATTTGGTGTATGCCGCTGGATGTGTAGTGAACTTCTTTGTCCATCAAATTGCTGTGAATATTATCATGTGTATAACCTGTAAGTTTCTCATTTGTTGTTCATTCGAAGCCGGGTCTTTTCTACGATTATATTGTAGTTGGAATGTTAGTTGTGTCATTGAATACTCTTCCTTACCATATGTTATCCCAATTTCATGCCGATGAAACGGTAAAGCTTTGCTGAATCAAATGGCATTGTCTCAGTTTTCAATTTTAGTATAAAAATCGAGATGGTTCTAAACGTGGGATAGGCGTTGATTGTTCTCTACTGAACAGCTGTTATTTTCTCGGTGAACTGATAGTAGCTGTGTCTCTGGGTCCACTACTAGAGCAAACAGGTGTAAATTATTGTATGGTAATTGGTGCTGGATTTACATTGTTTGGAAATCTTTGTATGTTTTTCCTGTTCTATTTTAAAACATGATGATATATCAAAGAAAAAGATAATCGATCATTTTTCTGTTGATATTTAGTGATGAGATGTGAATGTAATCTTCAGATAATTAACTAGTGCATTAATTGTATTTCGTAATTTTTTATACACATATTTCAATGAAACTTTTGTGATGATTACACAAAGTCATTTTTTCTGTATGTGCAATGATTTTTCCTTTCTCTCTCTCTCTCTCTTTTAAGCATAACATGTATTATCTATGTGCGATAACCTTTTTTCGTATTTCTTATAAAAATACGTTTGCATCTTCCGAGACTACTATGTGTCAAATGAACGTGACTATTTCATTGAAGAAGATAAGACGAATATGAACCATCATGGAGTCTGTTAACTTGCACATTACTATGGACCAAAGTAAGTGTTATGATAGTGCTTTCGTTTCTTGTACTCATTTTACATAGTACCAGAAAATATACGACTGCTAGGCATCGTCAGCCATTATATTGTGGAGTTATGACCATTGTTTTAAGTACGTGTGCATTTGAGTAGTTCAGAAAAAAAAATCAATTATTGTGCTAGTCATCGTTTCCTTCATGATTCTTCTTAGTTGTCATTCAAACGTTCTGAATAGACAACTATGTCTGGGACGACTAAATAATTACATACACTTTTACCTATGAAAACGAAAGCCAAATATTGATTACACTTGACAAATACATTTATTTCTAGTGATCGGTGGACGAAATTAGACATGAAAAAGCTTCGATTGTTCGAACCGCATCTATTATATTTTCCATCACTTTACAACCAATTGACTATCTAACGTATCGAAGGTCAAATCTTGGCAATTAATTGTTTGAAATTGAATCATGATATCTAAATCGATAGATTCCTAAGTTGTATAGTGAACCGACAAATTCAATCAACACGAACTATGCTTGCAAATAAAAATCAGCCAATGAGATCATCTTCTGTGCATCGCCGTTAATGTTCTGAAGGACGACCCTCGAGTCATTATTTTCTTTTTGTCTGGCACTACTGGAGAACGAGAGAAAATATACTTCTTAAGAGATAAGTAATCTCTCACGTTGACACATTCGATCCTATCTCGTGTAATCAATAGAAAACAATAAGAAACAAAACAGGTACTTTCTGTCGTTAGCTGAGTCAACTTCATATCAGGAAATGCATTTGGAAAATGATTTACACTGGAGTGTCAATAGAACAAGAGCATGTCATCGTACACGTCAGCACTTTGAAAAGAACAATTTATCAAAAAGTCAATCTGCCTCTTGCTAAACAGTTCAATAGAAAATTTCGAGTCTATGAAATCAATCGATTTCTATACAAGTCTATGAATGAAAATTGTTAATGGATACTCGACATGGAGTACAAAAGTTGCTAATTGAAAAATGCACTAGTGCGAATCGACAACCACACTTAATCACAATAATGAATTGAACTTTTAATCATCGGACTGAATGCTCTGTGGTAATTATCATTAGATACACATTTATTTATTAACAGAGAAATCAAGAGAGAAAAATCAGAAAGAGAAAAACAAGTCGAATTCATATAAATAAATTTTAACTAAAAATATTCTTTTCTTACAATTATATCGGATAAGAAAAAAACAAAAAAAATCGATAGATAAATAGATAGACTGGAATTTTCAATAAGAATCTAAATAATAGAAACTAGATGAATGAATGAATGAATAAATAATAAGAGACAATACTTCTTTTATGATACTGTATTTTTTCTTTTGGATGATTGTTGAACAATCGTATAACTATTCATTAAGGAATTAGCGGAAAATAATTTATACCAATCAAGCGTCTGTTGAGAAGTATTCAAGTTCACTTCGTGCAAACCGATTTGGCACACACCCATAAATACCTTCCGATCGAATTTACCATAATCACCCCAGATGCTGATCTACTCACGAGACTAAAATGCTAAAAATAATCCGAATAGCAACACGACTTACTTGTAGGATTTTATCTCGAAAATATTCTTTGAATAGAAGTGTCTGTTGAATTAATGGATCAAGTGTTCGACGTGTCGTTCGTGTACGTTGTTTTTCCACGCAAGCTTTTCCATCGAGTAGATACACTTTCACATACGGCGCTATTTAAATGTTAATTAAAAATACTGTTATTACAATCATGATAAGACGAACCTGGAGGCATTTTATAGAAGGTTTTTTGAATAAGATTTCTTGCTCGTACTATTTCAACTTCGAGGATGCCGTTTTGATTCCGAAGACCTACTTGAATTTCACCGTGACAAGGCGACGCAAGAACTTGTCGACCAACTAATTGTCCTTTGCCTAAACCTTCAATAAAGTCACTAAACTGATGTTCGTGTGGTAATTTCAAGGCACCGGACCATAATCTGAAAGAAACGACTTGTGTCACAAGCGATTCGTACGTCTGAACACAAATCTTACTTGGCCATGTCAGGAGGAAGAGAATGATGCTGATTAGTAATTGAATTGAATAGTGACTGATGGGGCGATGTTGTAGGTGGAGCACTCGATGGAGTTTCATTCTCTTTACTCGTTTGTTCTTGTAATGTTCGGTTACGTAAATGTGGTTGAACACCAACTTCTTCACTTCGTTGAAAACCGTATCGTTTACCTAGAAGAAAATTAGATTATAACAAACGAATGTATATGAAAGATTTGTAATTGATTTACCACCGCCAAGGTTGGATGAGCTATTGGCTTTTTTTGATAGACCAAGTATAACTAGAGCTTTCGATGACATAGATGGCTGTCGTTTTTTATTCGATTCAGATTGTGTGCTCAGAGCCGAATCAGACAAGGTACCATCATTACGTTGTTCTCCTTTACCAGTTTTTGTATTCGAAACATTTGCTGCTGTTGTTGCTGTTATTGTCGGCGCTGATGCTGCTACTGCTATTGTTTTACCTGTTGAGGTATCTGTCGTAGTTGCAGAAGTTGTTGATGTGTCATGAGTTCGCATTGCCATTTGTCGAAGTTCTTCTTCGTTTAATTGTACTTCATCATTTTGATAGTACTGTTCGTTGCTACGTCTTTGGAGACTAAAACAGAAACAAATTGCTTCAAATTCAAACAGTACAAGATTAAAATAGAATTTAATTACTTTTGCTTTCGTAAATGTCGATGTCGTTCTGATTGTGTAGATACTGCACTGGTAGTACTCTGTCGTGATGCAAATGACATTTCCGATCCATCAGAATCAACGTCATCCGCTTGTGTTTCAGAGGGATCTTAATAGAAGTCAAAGGTTTAATCTTAGATTTCAGGATAGAGGACAAACAAAACATTTACATCGTTTTTTGATTGTTTTTCGATATTTCTCTTCGAACGATTTTGTTTTTGTCTTTTCCATGTCAACTCGGCTAGATCCTGTTGGTCCTGCTGCAGTTGTTGTTGTCGTTCGTCGAACCGGTATCGTCGCCGGTACGCTTTTGTCTCGAATGATTGGTATACGCACTTTCTCCTTCAAATTCATCGTCGAAGTTGCTTTCGACGTTAAGTTCATCATTGATTTTCTTGAACTATCGTCGTTTGGACGCGGACGATCTTCGTACAACTGTTTATAAATTGAATCAGTTTGATCAAAACTGCGTTGAGTCAGAAGTGGTCGCTCGTTCTTCGACTGCATATGAAGACGTAACTTCAGTTCAGCCGCTTTTTGAAATAGATCTTGAGAAACTATGAATCAACATCAGGAAGGTTTAAAAAATCATTTGCTTTGAACAACAAAAGAACCTTTTTCTCGATTAGCTTCCAACCGTGCTGTTGGAATATCTGGTAACTGTCGTTTACGGCTCTGCGTTACCGGTAGACTAAAAATAGTTTTATCAATATTGAAACATACTCTAGATGGTTCATCTAAATCTTACACGTCAGTTGTAGACAAATGAGCGCGATTGCACGACGACCCTGAATGTAAAAGGAAATGATTCTAGTGTGAGGAAAAAAGGTTGTTTTTTTCTTTGTAAACAAACCATCTGCTATGTTGTTTAATTTATACCACTGTGGGTTGCTACTTAAGTTTAACTGCTGAAATTTCATTTCTCCGAGAATTTCTTGTCGATGTTCGAGATTGATTAGTTTAATCCATAACAACACATTTTCAAGCGTATCAAGATCAAAGAAGATTATATGTTGATTCCATGTACAAGTTCCTGATGAACACGGCTGCCCTTTTGTACATTTGTCTTGTTTGGATCTAGAACAAAGTTCTGAATTTATCCGACGACAAAGGTCAAATCGAAATTTTACGAGATATCATATTCTGATTCCAATGATACTTGACAGGCCAAAAGACCTTGATTTAGAGGAATATTTCTAGCACCATAGATCATAATATGTAAACAATTTTCATCGTATTGAAATGAAAGCTATAAGACGAAAAAACAAATTCTTCGAGGATTTTCATCGGATTAGTCGGGATCAAATGTACCTGTAATTGGATCGAACGGGTTTCTATTATTGATGGTATGATTTGATCTTCTGAAAAAAAAACACAAACAAATTCATAAATGGAAAACAGTCTGAGTAGTGATCTTTGCATTTATTTGATCAATTGAATAATTAGAAAACGCATGATATTTCCCTGAAGAAACTCTCGGGTGTTAATGTCAGTGAATTCACAGCATAGTGAAATGAATTTTGGCGAAGGAAAGAGATGGATGTCTTGTTGTGAAGAGAATGTGTGTGTGTGTGTCTACGCTGAGTATTTTCTTCTTTTCTTCTAATATTCTATGGAGAACGTCGCGACGTCGTTTCGAAGAAAAAGAAGGAAGAGAGAAAGATTTAGTATTCATCGAGAGATGAGAAAAAAAGAATGAAGTACAACTCATTCTTCAAGAGTGAGTATTTGTCCAAGCATTTCTTCATTATCAGTTTTCTTTCCTCCTTTCTTCACCATTCGTCTTTTCCCGTACAGTTCATTATGATTTGTCTTATTCTTTTGGGCGAAAGGAAGGAACCATAAATGACACAAAAAAACCAAGTGTCGCACAAGAATATAAACTCAATAAAAAACAACTCTTTCACTCGTTCTTTACCTTGCACAAATCGATTCTGTAATAGATGATCATTATTATTCGATACGATTGGATTTCTAAACAATCCGTTGCCAAAGATGCATCAGTGTGGATAGAAAAAAAACACCGACCTGAGAGATCGTTTGACAATCATATGAATTTGTGGCGATTGGAGCGATATTTGTGAAAGAACACGATTGACATTCTTGCATTGAACATTTTTCAATTTGTCTCCATTCCATTCGATTATTTGATCGCCTAGAATCAGTCGTTCTGTTCGCCGAAAACAACTGCGTTCTGTCTCCGAAACATACCCATCCGCAATTGTCCATAAGTATCAGCAATACTTCCAGGAGTAACTTCGGTAATTTCCACGAGATTTGTGTCATTCAGTTGAATTTTGAAACCTAATGCATTGAATATATCATTCTGGGTTAATTTACCATGTTCACGTTCATAAGTTGAAAGATTATTTTTCAAATAAATATAGCCAATTTGCTCAGTACGTGTTTCATTAAAACGCCAATATGTCATCGGCTAGAAAACGGCAATGAATTATTAATTAGAATATTTCTATTCTCATATGGAACACATACACAAGACAAAAAATAACAACATTTATAGAAACCTTTTGAAACTGATCGGTGGATATGACGTTCAAGATTGTGCTTGAACTGGCTGTATCGATTCCCGAATCTTTTAACGTCGATTCATGACCTATTTCTCTATCTTCGAGTGAATGATACTGAAAATCTCGTAAAATATTCATCGAACGCATATCTTGTCTCGCAACGGGCAATAGTCTCTGTTTGTTATCCGCTGTTGTGATCGATTCGGGCGATGATGCATCATCATTAGTATCCAATTTTGGCAGAACACGTTGTGGATGAATTGCAGTCGTATTCAAAACATTGGAATCCGATGTTTGAGACAGAATATAATCCGAAACATATTGCTTGCAAATATTCCGTGTCGAAGAAAAATAATGTTCTTGCTTTTGTCGACACTGTTGACAGAGATAATAATGCGATTTCACACGAATACCACATCGAACACAGAAGCGTTTTTGACATATGGAACATTGACGGGATGATTGTTCATTGACAAATTTTGTTCGTTGGCAGATTTGACAATATGCACCTGATTCGTTCGATTGGGAATAACGACGAGATGTTATTGCTACTGAGGGCGCCGAATAATCATCATATGGCGATCTAAGTCGAATCGATCAATAGTCAGTGAAACTTTCTGCCGAAATTACTTACGAATTATTAAAAGAATCATGTTTTGCTTCTGCTTTTTCACGATTAATAACAGCTTCGATAATTCTTTTCTCATCAGCAGTTAGATGACTTAAATCAGGTGTCATATCCATAAAAAGACAATTTAAGCTCGCGATTTCAAAGATCGGACATCTTTGTTTTGTGCCATATCTACCGGAAAAGACCAAATCATCATTTATTCAACTTCGCCGAAGAGTTCTTTTTCTTACCATGATTCTTTTGCATGAATAAGGCCGCCATTATTGACCTTAAGTTATTTTTTTATAAATAGATCTCTGTATTTTAGAACATTATTTGATCTACAAAAAAGAAGAAGAAGAAGAAGAAGAAAATTTTTGTTTAATCTTATAAAACAAAAGGATCTCTAGAGATTTTCAATCAATTCGTATTTGACATTGAAAGTGCGTAGGCTCTACCAGTCCTATTCACCATACGCATGATTGTCTCTGTTCCTGTCTTTGATAGTGCATTCAGCTCGCTATAGGTTTTCCTTGTTTCTCCTAGCTCGATTTTCATTGGTTAAAAGACCATTGCGCTAGATGGTTTTCCTCCTATATACACGCTTTTTTCTCTTCATCTTAGTTTTTAATAAAATAATTGTTTTGACGGCAATTTCAACGTCTGTTTGAAGTTTAACAGCTTTTTTTATTCTTCTAAGTGAAAATATAATGAAGATATTTACGATGATTTGCGAAGATGTAATTAACTATAGTTTTCTTTTTTTCGAAAAGAAGCAATTTTGCCATTGAATGTGCGGTGCGTCAAAAGTTCAATATTGACATTCTGAGAAGAGAAATGTTCTTCGACGAAGGAGAAGGTCTGTTTGTCAATTCAATTCAAACATTGGTCGACGGGTTCAATGAAAACCTTTTATTGATGGTTGATAACAATAGGAAAAGATAACATCAGTTTATTTTGTGAAATAAAACAGCTGTGGCTTCAATTAAGCTTATATACTTTAAAACGATTACTTGATCTAATCTGATCTCTCGTTTGACTTTGTTTTCATACGAAATATCGACGAAGTTTCACTTGGCTTTTTCAAATGATTATTCATTGCTTATACAGTTCTCTATTTCATCAAACAATCCATCCTATAAATCGACACATTTGAAAACGAGAGAGAGAGAGAGAAGCAAAAGGTGAATGTGAATATGTGACGATATCCAATAGCCTAAATAGATGTGACACGATAATATCACCTATATGCATTCGGCTTGTCAGTTTGTTTTTAACATCCCTTCGAGCAATTGCTTTCTCGCTTTTATCCTAATGTGCATGTTAAATATACGCACATATTCATTGACTGATGACCATCCTCTTTTCACCTATCTATGCATTATTATCTTTTCAATAGGTGAAAAAAATCCATGCTTGAATGCATTCAATATGAAAAGCTGCTTGACTTATGAGAAAGAATGAAAGAGAGCGAGAGAGAGAGAAAATGAGACAATTGTTAAAATGAAGAGAAAAAAACGAACTTACTACCTATAAATACAATCACGAATACATTGAAATACAGACATATGTTTTAGTTCGAAACAAAATAAACAGTAAGTTAAATTTAAAAACGAAAGCATTATTCAAAGAGTTTTTGTGATGGTGATTTCTCAATTCACATTCTCTTTCAATAGTGCCTTTGTCTACCTAGACGTGTATGTGAACTACGAAATATCTATACGATTGAACTCAAACCAATATTATAATGTCTAGTTTTCTTTTCCTTAGAAATCAATGCAGAATTTTTAGAGATTATATCACAAAGAAGAATGTATTTGCTCGATTAATTGTCTTCGTGAATTAGAAATCCACCAAATGTAGTATATCGCCAACCATATAGGGATGTTTTGAAATTATAGTCAGCATCATTACGGGATTGGGCACGAATGTATATTCGATCGCCTCGATTCAAAAATAAAACCACAGTTGTCGACGCCGTATTCCAAACGGGTACTTTCTGATTCTTAACAGCTGTTAAATAACCCTCGACCCATAGCGGAACAACATTTTCCGTATTTTTACATAGAGAGACAGATGCCTGAAAAACGATTAACGTAAGAGGAAATAAACGCAAGAAGCAACAAGGAAACATACGATATGATTTGCCGGCACACAAACAGTTAAACTAAATTCATAGAGACCGTTGATTGGGGCATAGTAGATACCTGTTGTTCTATTTAAATGATAATTCTTGTTTAGTAAAATATCATCCCAAACGATTATAGACGAATCTGCTTGCAAAGAGTAGGTGTTATTCAATGCGACAAAAAAAGCAGACTTGATATTCGAGTGACCGTCACGGCCTAAACAAAACGAATGGAGATTCGTGGTGAATGTTAATAGACGTAAAGTTTACCTGGTGGGCCGGGCAATCCGGGCGGACCACTTGGTCCTTGCATGCCTTGTTTTCCTGGTGGACCAGGCGGGCCTACATCAGCCAAAAAAGTGTTTTTCAAAATTTTCGCTTTTTTAAATCAAAACATACGTACCTGCCGGTCCTTGAATATCAAGTGTCACTCGATTTCTTGCATCTGAAGAAAAGAATATTTAAATAAGTGCATAAAATTATTCATTATTTTCCTACTTGGACAATTGATATGTAATTTACACTGCTTGGATGCTGATGTCTTCGAACCAGCAGAACCATAAGTTGTTGCTATGGATGAATATGACTGTTGAGAGTTTGAGTAAGGATCATTATTCGGATTCCGCTTATTCAAATAAGGTGAAGGTGTTTGTGGCTGTTGTTGTTGTTGTTGTTGCTGTTGAGATGGTTGATATGCATAATAATTATATGATGGTGGTGAAACTGGTCCGTACGAATTAGCAATAATAGGTTCTGTTAGAAGCACCGGTAGAGTAAGCAAACCGAAGGTGAAGATGTGATAAATCATTTGTAAAACTAAAAAATGAGGAAATCAAGTTATGGCTTCAAATAGAATCAATTCCAGTAAACTTATTTATACAACACAACGGGCGATCGATGTGTATATGATTGAAAAAATGAAATTAACTCGAGTGGAAGGAGAAAAATAATATCAACGAATCGTTTAGATTAGAAGTTGCAGAGAAGGTCGATTTCCTATTTTAATGTGTTAGTACGAATAGCTTCCAGCTTCATTCCGCCCTCTCTCTCTCTCTATATATATATATATATGTTTATATGTATGTAAAAAATTGCTATAGACATCGTCATTTGTCACAAGTACTAATTTCTATTGACGTTTACAGAAACCTGCTTTCTCTTGTAAACTAACATCAGCAAATGCAATAAGCCTACCTTATTTCCTGTCAATCAAAAGATCGTTTTTATTTGACTGTAAAGAAAAATACTGAATTGATGATGTGCATAGGAAAACGACATACTTGATCAATTATGAAAGAAAATCAGAATCCATGATGGACTATTTTATTATTCTACGTGTTGTCGTTACCGTATTAAAGCCAACGATTGACTCGGAATAATATTGAGAAAAGAAGGAGCACAGAAGAGAAAAGAGAAAAATCAAAAATAGTCTTTGAGATCGATCTCTTTCTTTTCTTTTTTTTCTAACTTTAATCAAAGTAATAGAATAATGAGAAGAAGAAGAAGAAAGAATAAGTGTAAATAATACATCTCTGCTCTCGTCATATCGACTGCCAATTTGTAAAAATCGTTTCTTTCCGTGTGTGCATTTCTCGTAAGTTTATTAACAATATCTCGATAAGAAAAAAACCATCGAAGGTCAAAACATAACAACGAGCAGATTACCGATCGAATTACTTTCATTTTCATCCACGAGATGATCGTAGTTATAACAAGCCTGGTGCACGGGATCCTGAAATCGAAATGTAATCACGTCCGACTACGGTTAGTCACTCTTTCGCTTATGGATATTCTTGCTTGTTAATTAAACTATATCGAATGTTGAAGCATCCGGAAAAATGTTCTCTTAATGAACACAGGATCTCTTTTAAATGCTAGATGTGTTCTCACATCACACATTCCTCTCGGCAATCGAAAGAGAAACGGAAGAAAAATAATTTTTTTTCTATTATATTCGTTAATTTATTCAAGGACAAGAGCTTTTGCTTTTTGTGTTGAAACACATAGTCTAGAACATGTCAAATAGGCATGGATAATTACGATTAATGAAACGGCAATTGTTTACAAACAAAACGAAAGAATTCTATTGATTCTTTTCCTCCTTCGAATCAAAAGCAGGGTTCAATGGACTCACGAACCAATTGTTCAAGATAACGTTGATCAATTTCATCGAAATGATTCTCAAATTCACTGTCAACATCCAGTACACCTAACACTTGTCCTTGTTCATCGTTCGACGATGTTCGGCGAATAATTGGGACAACAATTTCCGACAAGGAAGCTGACGAGCAAGCTAAGCAAAGAATAGACTCGATTTAATTAATAAAAGTAACTTTATTCATACCAATATGGCCTGGGAATTGATGAACATTCGGCACTAAAATAGTCTGTCGTTGAGCCCAGCTCGTGCCGCAAACACCTTTGTTCAATTGAATCCTTGTACATGCTAATGGACCCTTTGAAAGAAGAGATTTTCTCAACACTAATTTTTTCATCTGAAGATTTTTACTTGAAATGGGCCAAGGACCAATTGATTATCTTTAACTAGATAAAATCCGACCCACCAAAATGCGAAGATTTCTTTGAGTACTGCGCTGATGTTCGCAAGATTTGCAATCAAATCCTTTTCATATTGAACTAAGCTCTTGATTTCAGTAAGAACCTGTTTGTATTTCTGCTCTTTCGATGCATTTTTGTCAATATGCTCGAGACTCTCCGGCATGTTTTATGATACTTCGAATGACCTTAGCACGCGTTCTTTTATCTAACAAGAAAAAAGAAAAGAAAAGTAGATAATTGTTTCTTTTTATTGATAAGATGAATCATGCTAGACACGATGAGGAGCGACATTGAGTTTAAAGTCGAAATTTTCGAGTTGAAATTTCCGGGAAGATGTTCGAGGAATTGAGGATGGCTGAGGTTCCACATTCTTATTTAGATTCGTTGTGTTTGAGCCCATTCGTTGTCTGTTTATTTGTTTGCGATCCGTGTGTGCTGAAAGACTGGAAGATTTTTGGAAATGTTCAACATTCTGTCTCTGCGTAGATTCCAACGAGGAAGGAAATTCAGTAAATGTACTTGACCGACGTCGAACGAATTCATGGGGATGAAAACGAACACGACGTTTTGGCGGTGGTACCGTTTTCGAAGATGAAACACGTCTTGTTTGATTAATATCGAACTCCGCAGGTAAGAAATCACTTAAATTCGTCGGACGCTCATTGTTTGACAGTGGTGTGATTATTGGTAAAATGATAGATGGTTCAGAGGATAGTTTGGTATCAACCTATGAAATTGAAATGAATAGATCATGCAATTTTGATCGAAAGTGTTTAGTCAAAGTAAGATATTTTATCATTAATTGGTTTATGCTTATTCAGAGAGGCCTGTTTAACAGTATAATGATAACATTTATCGCTCTTTTCCATAATTATTTGTCTGGTGAAAGTCTTCAAGGCATGAGTTTTCTTTTTCAAATTATGACACTTCGATCAAGGACAATAGATATACAGATCAAACATAAGCAGGTACTTCACGAACAGCAGTGTGTTAATTCTCAAAAGATATATACAAATAATAGAGAAAGGAACTTCTGACACACAAAGCAAAACAGAGGATAAATGTATAGGTTAAGTGATTAGGTTTTGACGAGGTTCACGTAAAGCATCAGGAATAATAACATTGCCGGAGATAGGGTCACGCAAACGCACCACTGGTTTCGTATGTTGAGGCTTTTCGATTTTGTCGGCATATTCTCTCGCCTAGAAGTATAGAATATCATCATTCGAATCAATCATGATCACTGCAAACACACAAGTTAGACATACTGAAAAAGCAAGTAAAAAAATTATGGTTACAAAAGTCAAAACACGATTAAAAGCGATTTACGTCAATTGACGGTCTGAGTCTATGTGTACATTAAGCATTCGTATAGGTGAATTTTTTGTGCAAAGAGCATTTGCATGTTTTATTGTGTTCACGTCTGATTTGACGTTCAAAGTCTCTCACCTCTCGTGCAGACGAAAAGTAAGATTCAGTGGCATCGTGCTGCAAAAAGTGTACGAGTGTATATATTTATATGCATAAGATGAAAAATGATTTGTTAATTCATATCAAGTTAGTTGAAAAGCCGAAGAATATTGACTCGTTCTTACCCGTTGGTATCGTGGCGTCGATGAAATTGGGTTTCGTTGTTGAGAGTAACCGGTTTGTGATTGCCTTTGCGCTTCGATTTTGTTATGATTAGTTTCTCGAACAGCTTTTGAATAGACTTTTCGTCGGTCCTGTTTGTTTACCTAATCACAAGTAAACGAAGTTTGATGAAGAGTATCATATAAATAAGAACTTTTTCTGTAAATGTTCGATGGTCCGTATTTCCAAACATCGGACCAAAGCCGCCATTTTGAACAAAGTTTCTGTAGTCGTTCAAAACGTATCTTCGAGTTGATTTCTCCTCTTGCAAACGACGTTGATGTTGTCGAAAAGCATCGACGTAGCTACCTGAAATAAACAGACGTTTCTAGAGGCTTCTCTTGAATAATTAACAATTCTTTCTACTAACCTGGATCAGGTGCCGATAAACCGTAAAGATACTCATGAATATTAAAATTATTTCCAGTATAGCCAAAACGATTCTCTTGATTCGTTCCAGATGATTTCGATTTTGTTTGATTGTGATTAGAATTATAACTATTTCTCCCAGATGTATGATTGTTAATGGCTGTGGATGGAGGTTGATAATTATTCCGATCCGTTATCTGTACACGGCGTTTTTGTGTTGATGTTTGCGTACGATTACTTGGAGCGGGCGTGGAATATGTTAATTCCCGATTGCCATTCGGTTCGAAAGTTTGAGATTCATTGAGATTGGGTTTATGTTGAGAGATATCATTCGGTGGTTTATATTGGAATGATTGGGATAATTTTGGACGTTCTCCGGGTACTTGATAATATCGTGGCTGCTGTTGTTCTTCTTCTTGGGAATAAGAAACAGCAGGAAGTGTAGGTCGTTGTTGATTCGTTGGCATGGTATAATCGTAATTAGATCTTGATGAAAGGAGATACGATGGAATTGGTCGTGAATTGTACAATGTATTTTTCCAGAGGATCTAAACAAATCGAATTGTGAAAGTTTTCGAACATCGTTGTAAATGCACACGAACCCAATCTAGATCGTAAGTTGGTTCATGCGTTAGAAATGAACTACCATAGGTTCGCGAATATATAGACGGAGTTGCAACAGTCGGTAACTTCCATGTTGGTGCCAAAAATGAGTACTCAGATTCGAGTGCATTCATTTCTGCGTGTCTCTACAACATTATATAGGCACTTAAACATGACTCTCGTGTAGTTTGAATGTTTACTTTGCCAACGCAATAGAATGTCTCGTGCTCTCTTCGGTTGTTTTCGTTTCTAATTGGATTTTGAAATGAGAAGAAGACAGAGTGGTGAGTTTATATCGAGTAGATGAAATGTCTAATTCAATAATCATCTACTCGTGTTTGGCAAAAAAAACTGAACTTGATCTTTCTCTTGCCTCGATCAGTAAGTAGTTTTTATTTCGAACAAGCGTTGAGAAGAAGGACAACGAAGGTGTACGACAACAACAATCAAACAGAACGATCGACAAATAACGTTAAAATTTAAATTATATTGATCTGGAAAAAAGTCATCATAGCGACGTAAAAAAAACTTGTCGAGAAAGAAAAAAAAAACTTCTCTTTACTCTTTGTTGTTGAATGAAAATGAGAATTTTGATGTATTATTTATTCACAGATAGAAAAAACATGAACTTGTGCGTTCGCGATTCTCTAATTGGTCATTAAAAAACGATGAGAGATGCATATTTTAATGTATTCGTTGACGAAAATCGCTCAGTGATTTGTCTTCTTCCAACGTGTATAAATTGCTGGTAACTTGTCGCAGTTTTAAATGCATTGCCCGTGGTGTTCGATTAGGAAAATCATCGTCATTATCTTCTATGCCACTTGTTTCTCGTCCAACGGAATCATATTTTGCATAGCTCACTTTTTTCTTTTTTCGTTCGGGATCGATTTTCTTTCGATTGGCATTGAAATCAGCAAGATTGTCATAGTCGGCATCCGGTCGACGAGTGCGAAGCGCATTTCGAACTTTTTCGTTTGCTTTTATTTGATTAGCATCGCGAACATCTTTTTGTTTGGTTTGTGTCGTTATTTCTGATCGGTGTCGTTGCAGCGAACGATCAATAGATTTTGTTCTACCATTTTTCATTTTTTGACGAGGAGTTAGATTACTTGACTCGGTTTCCTAGATAAATACAGAGAGAAGTTTGAAAAGAAAAAGAAAATGATTTAAAGTAACTTGAGAAGCATCTTTGTGAAGAGCGTTTTGCTGAAGGGATTTAGCGATTTCATTTTCTTGCCATTTATCATAATTTCGATAGCGGACGCGCTCGGCATACGACCGTGATTGATCATAGAGTTCTTTCTATTCATATAAAGAAAATATTCAGGTTTTATCGACTCGACTGCTCAACTTTTTCTTCTTTGAAGATCGATAACAGATTGCCTTTTCTCAATTCGAGAAAACCGTTCGACGATGGCGATTTCACCACACTTTGAAGTAATTCATCTCGAGTTGAATGGCGAATATAATCACCGTACTGGAGGCGCTTCGCTGTTGTTTCACTCTAGGAGAAAATATATTTTGCAAGGAGTGAAATGTCAAACAGACATGTTGTTTGTTTTTACTAATTCTTTTTGTTGCTTAGCACGATCAGAACGTAATTTTTGCAGAGCTTCACGAAAACGTTCATCTGCATTCTTGTGAAGATTGTCGTGATCACTTAATTCACTTTGAGTAAAATCGAAATGTGGTGAATCCGATGAAAACTAAATGAAGGAAAATACACATTGGAGAGAATCCTGCCGAGGTTGACTACTTGTGTTTGATCTTGTCGTTTCCAAGACTTTGCTGTCGTGGCGCCTGGTAAACGTTTCGAAGATGATGGTTCATACAAAGATGTTTTCGGATTTGTTGGATTTTGCTGATCTTGATAACGAAATTTGAAATAAGTGCAAAGATTTCGTAAACGAATAACTTACGATATGGTTTAGTTGATGTTGGCTGATGTGGAGACGCATCTTCACTGTCGATTTCGTCAAAATATGGATCGTTTTGAATTTCATAGGTCTTGTCCCGACTAATTGGCTGAGTGAATGATTTCGATTTATTTCGATTGACTTTGTTTTCGATCGGTTTTGAACGTATGGATTTATCAGATTGGGTTGGACTCGTATGTTCAGTTTTCACTGCCAAAGCTTGTTTCGTTGATTTGCCGTCTGCTACGGGTTTCTTCTTTGCATCATTTACCCATCCGTCAACAGGCACCGATAGATTTGCTCTTTCATCCTCATAAGTCCCATTCGTTGTCGGCTTTCTATTTACATCTTTAATAGGTTGAGTATGTAATGTTGATTGTTTTGGCGTTTTCGTTTGTAATGTAGGTTGATTCGATTGAGATGATGGATTTGGATCGGTATTGTTTGTATATAGTTGATGATTCTGTTGAACATTAGGAAATTTATTAATTGAACGAGCCACGCTTGATGCTGTGCCGAGACTTTCTTCATACTCAGGCATTTCATTTAGTGAAGGAACAGGATGATTGGGCAGAACTGGCTTTCGCGAATTCGCTATTGAAGAACTTTGAGACACGGACGGTCGTTGATGCGTCACTCTTTCCTGACTGAATCTCGGATCATTATTTCGATAGGAATTCTCTGTTTGATAGGGATTTGCAAAAGCTGCACGTGTATTTGACTCAATATTGGGCAATACTGTTTGATTGTATGATGCTGGATATTCTGCTAAGAGATTTGACCCGTAGCTCATGTTTTCTTTTTTCCAATGCCGATTAATGAAACAAATAGTTTTATGTGACTTTTCTTCGTTTCATTTTTTCTTCTTTTTATTCTTTCACGCACATGTGTTTATACTGTCATGAAAGAATGCGAATCCTTTTAACGTCAGATGTATGTGTTTGTGTGTGCATGAATGAGAGCTTTTTGTCGGTCGAATGAGATTTATATCGAGAGAATACGTTAAAATAAAAGTTAAATTTAGTGACGTCGGTATGAAAACACCGATTACTTGTTTAATAGAATCGACTCAGTCTTGATTTAAAGACAACAAAGAAATCAAAAGTTTCGTTCTGTCCTTCGACACGAAAAGAAGAACAAGTGATTTTTGTTTCACTCATGCATTCTCATCAAATGTCGCGCCTTTGTTCAATCAGCGTGCTCAGATTACACTCTCAGCCGATTAACGTATGTGTTGTGTCCGACTTCTTCCCAAGGTCTAAAAGAATGTATATATATATATATGTTAGTGAAGACGACTGCTTTTGTCTCTTTGTACAAATGACGAGACAGACGACGTGATCAAATGACCTCACTTTCGAAAAACAACGTCATCGAATGTATGTGAAGAACTAGAGAAATTTGAGAATAAAAGAAAAAAAGACGAGATGATCTTATTTTCGAAAATGTCTGATTGTCACGGATCTATTCTATTGCATTCATCGTTGGTAGTCGCAAGACAAACGGTTAAAAGAAAAAAATGATTCATCTCAGCGTTTGTTTTCTTCTTCTTCTACATTTTGTAACTGGTGAAGGTAATTACATTGAATTGATTAGATTAAGTACCGGTATCTTAATTGTAGACATTTGTCAAAATGTTAATTGTGGATCGGGTATTTGTATTCGAACACAAAATCCAGCATTGCCTTATTTTTGCCGATGTCCAGCTGGTACAAATACGATCTTACCATGTCCAAGTGAAAGTTCGTTGATATTTGTTTTTTGAGGAAGTCAACAATGATGTATGAATATTCATTGATAGATCCATGCTCAAGAAATCCATGCGGGTCAGGCACTTGCGAAGTAATGCCAAGTTTACTTCATGGATACTTATGTCGATGTGCTGGCGACGCAATATCACTAACAAGCTGCAATGGTAAGAAACGATCGAATTCTATTAATTGATTGGAAACCATTTGATCGGCTTGTGTTTAGTCACTCGTAGTGGTTGTTATTCCAATCCATGTATCAATGGTTTGTGCATTGAAGGTTTGGCTAGCTATTTTTGTAATTGTTTACCTACTTGGACTGGAAAATTGTGCGATGGTATTGAGACGAAATGTTTTGCAATGAACGTGTGTGTATTACTTTCATTGTAGAACAAATAACATCACCATGTTCGAAAAATCCGTGCAATCCAGGCAAATGTCTTCAACTCAATGAACCGAATATTCCGTTTGTTTGTTTATGTCCAAACGGACAGTTTGGTTTATCATGTCGTAGTAAATATTTCTCTCCAATAGATTGAACGAAAAATTCTAACTCTCAAAACTACTCGCTTATTTTTAGTGTTTGGCTATTTGCCTTCCACTGCTCGAATATTCACCACCGCTATCACAACAACAACGACGACGACGACGACGACGATGAGGACAACGACAAATTCACTATTCACGTGCGATCCATATGATAGTCGATCTTGCATGAATGGTGGACGATGTTTGCAAGCAGCTAACAATTATCGCTGTCTTTGTAAGCCAGGTTATACTGGTGTCTTTTGTGACATGAGTAAGTCAACAACAGTACAAGCTTTGTATCAGTACGATTATCGAGGAAATGTTTCAGATATCAACGAATGCGCGTCAAATCCTTGTGAGTAACCTGCAAATATGTGTATTTAAAATGAGTTATTTTGATGGTTAGGTCAGTATGGAGGTGTTTGTTACGATTTGCAAGCGTCATACATATGTTACTGCCAAGATGGAAGTTTTCGTTCGCGCTGTTTACCTAGAGCAAGTAAGTCGACAACATCTGCTCAGATCTGAATAAGAAAATTAGTCAAAAGATAAGAGAACACTATGTTTCTTTTTCAGTAACAACTAGTACTGCTCGTACACTATTGTGCCCGTGCCAAAATGGTGGCGTATGCAGCAGAATCGGCTCTCAGATTTGTGTCTGTCCAATCGGGTATGCTGGGCGATTCTGTGAACATATGTCAAGTAAGTGCAAATGTTGAACAAGAGTAGTTTTCAGAAGACCTGGCCACTTATTATAGCCGTTGCTGCAGTTTCCAATTGTAACGGTGTCCAATGTATTAATGGTGGCACGTGCTATGGAAGCACATCAGATTCTGCCCGTTGTTTATGTAAAAACGGATTTACCGGACGATATTGTGAAACTGGTTAGTAGATCTTTTGAATCCACTGCATGAACAATCTAAGTACCCATTTGTGTTTTACTCCCCGATAGAATATTTTCAATGTCAATCAAACGGTCGTTTTGTTGATTCATATAATTGTGCTCAAGGAAAATATTTCGAATGTATCCATTTTCAAGAAGGTTTTTTCTTTTTATCATAGCAGTAGTACTCTTAGCTGCACTTCTCATTTGTGTATGTAATTTAGGAGCTAGCGCAAATCCGTATGGCATGTTACTAAGTCGAAGTTGTCCAATATCACTTCGGTTTAATTTTCAAGCTGACCGATGTGATTACGCTCAGAACGTGAAATGTCAGTATCAATAATCTCAAGCAATGAAGTTGAACACAATGGACTTTTTCCCTTCTCCACCATTCATTCCTAGCAATATTTCTGAAGATTTCCATTCCTTGTTTAATTCAGATTTTGTAAAGTACATCGTCATAGTCTGTAATAAACTATTCATAATCAACAAGCGAAATACATGCCCGTTCGTAAAAAGGGAGCAGAACAAATGATTTCTCTTAGTGGTTTCTAAAGCATAGTTTTCTTGTATAATGCCATGATTTATTGATAATGAAAACTTAAAAATCGATCACAAAAGGTATAGAACGGTAATAAGTATCACAGTCCACATATATCTTTGGATTTGTTTTACCAAAACCAAAAGGGACGACCACCAGTGTGTCCACCGCAAGAACTAGTTAAGGAATTCGAAGTTGTAGATTCCTGACTACCATCAGTAGTAGAGGCTACTGTGGTCGTATTGGCCGAAGACAACCCTTGCACTGCAAGTGTTACTGTCGTAGTCAGACCACCACTAAATCCGCTACTTGAATTGGCGTATTGAACAGCCATTAATGTATATCCCTTTGTCGATGCATAGATACCATCTTGACTGTTCAACGTGCGACTACCTGTGTGATTGGTGTACGGCGTTTGTTCATTCACCAGGTCACTGAACGAATCATTGAAAAATAATTGACCAGTATGAACATACTTCGCACCAGAATAGTAACTCGTTTCATTCAAATAAGTTCCACCAAGATGCACTTTCACGTGGATATGAATTGATCTGCCAATGTACCATCCTGGATAGATCGTGTCAAATGTCACAAGACCATTCGCATCGGTCAGCAAGATACCTACGTGTTCAAACGTGGAGATTGAAATGAAAAGAGTGAGAGAATGAGAATGAGAAGGACGGTACCTCGAAGGAATGTGGAATTATCTTTTTGCGGATTTTGAACGTTCTGACTGGCTTGGATGTAATGTGAGTAGATACCACCTGCATCACAGTGCCACATGGTGACAGCAGCATCAGCAATAGGTGTACACGTGTTGATATCGTTGACCAGAATTTGAATACGAAGTGGAATTCCGTCCCGGTCTTCTCTACAAGAGATAAATGTGATAACGGAGGTGAAGATGAAAATGTAGAAATTACGAGATGTTTTGTCTCATGAGTGTTGTGTTCCAGTAGTAGGGACCTTCCGTAACTTCAGGTGTAAGCACACAGGTCGTATCGCGGCGGCATCGTTGTAGTGATTCTGATGCGACTATACTCAAGAAACATGAATTTATATAATAAAATACTGATGAAGTTACTGGATTGATGAAGTAAGGCTATTAAAACAGTTATTTTGGTGAACAAGGCGAGGAATTTTGCCATCGTTGTGTGAAGGATATGTTAGTATCCGTATAATGATAATGAAAAATGTGTAAAGCTATAGAAAATAGACGATATTTCTGTGACGAATAGTTGGAATTAATTTTTTCATTAGAATTCAATGCATTTATATAACTAACCGATGACTAACCATATAACATTAGCATTGAAAGTGAAGAGTCTATAAAACAATGTGTATGACATGGCTGGTTGTTTGGATTCTTTTAAAAGTACATCATCAGTCAGTAAACCTGCAAGATAATATTAAAAAAGTACATTTGGCTTTGTGATTATTTTTGAAATCGTGTTTTGAACTGGAACTCTTTTGAGAAACAGTATTTTTTAATGTCCTGACTGAGAACTTATTGAGGTATTTCAGTGTATGAATCATGTTAGTTTCGAAAGGAGAAAAGTAAAAACAAACGAGTACGACTGAGAACTCTTATCATATTGATTGTGGCGGAGACAAAAGGAAGGAGAAAAAGTACATCTATAAGACATAGTAATGTTAAACTTTTCTCTTCATCAGGTAGAAATCTACCAAAGGAAGTCTCACAACTAAACAATATTAAAAATACTACATTTATAATTGTTTTATAGGATAAGTGCGATACTTGAAGGAGCCATTCAGTTGACATAAAACGGACTCCATGAGAAAATTTATAAGATTCTCGAAGGTAACTCTGTATAATATCAGAGTGGCGCTTCGTCGCTTTCATCTGATGTTTAGAGCGGATAGCCAAATCAAGAAATGGGTAAAAGCGCGCAATTTATAGAACATTTTCAAGTTTTTATAAATGTCGTGTTCTTACACAATCTTGATACCATCAGATCAAATGACTAGTGCCACGCGATCTCTATATTCTCCACGAAAGTTTTCTATTATGTTAGTGCGTACACCCATCCGTGCTATAACCAGTTTCGTATGTTCCTTGTCCGTTATGTATGTAGATTTATAACGTTCACAAACTGATGAAACCTTTATTCAAACAAAACGGATGCTGAATTAACATATGTAGTTATTAGTTCAAACACAACAAATGCTGGTTAGTACGGAGAAAAATTCTTAAAAAACGTCTGTAGTCCTCGTAAATTCGAATCACCTTTTGTTCAATGACGGCTTGGCCCATGTTTTGGGCCACGTTGTGGCTGGTTTTGTGAACCGTGTTGAGAATCAAGGTTGGGGCGATTTGGCTCATGGCCTGGTTGCTGATTACTTGGAGGGTGTCCATTTGGACGTCTTCCACGCTTAGTAGTAGTTGTTGTACGTGCCGTGTTGGTAGCAGTGGTGGTGGTGGTCACTAAAGTTGTTTCGCTTGCTGTTTCTGAAGTTGTATCAGTCTTTTCTGGTTCTGCTGCTGTTGTTGTTGTTGGTACTGATGATAATGTGGTTGATTCGCTGTCAAGTGACGTAACACCAAGAGTTATCGAAGTGAATAAACCACTACTGAAGCCATCGTCTGAATTCATATATTGAACATTCAGCAACGTGTACCCATTTGTCGATGCATAGATATCATCTTGACTATTCAACATGCGACTACCTGTGTGATTGGTGTACGGCGTTTGTTCATTCACCAGGTCACTGAACGAATCATTGAAAAATAATTGACCAGTATGAACATACTTCGCACCAGAATAGTAACTCGTTTCATTCAAATAAGTTCCACCAAGATGCACTTTCACGTGGATATGAATTGATCTGCCAATGTACCATCCTGGATAGATCGTGTCAAATGTCACAAGACCATTCGCATCGGTCAGCAGGATACCTACGTGTTCAAACATGGTGATTGAAATGAAAAGAGTGAGAGAATGAGAATGAGAAGGACGGTACCTCGAAGGAATGTGGAATTATCTTTTTGCGGATTTTGAACGTTTTGACTGGCTTGGATGTAATGTGAGTAGATACCACCTGCATCACAGTGCCACATGGTGACAGCAGCATCAGCAATAGGTGTACATGTGTTGACATCGTTGACCAGAATTTGAATACGAAGTGGAATTCCGTTCCGGTCTTCTCTACAAGAGATAAATGTGATAACGGAGATGAAGATGAAAGTGTAGAAATTACGAGATGTTTTGTCTCATGAGTGTTGTGTTCCAGTAGTAGGGACCTTCCGTAACTTCAGGTGTAAGCACACAGGTCGTATCGCGGCGGCATCGTTTTAATGATTGCAAAAGAGCTGTAATATGATGAGATAGATATTCTACGCTTGAGGGATATAAAGAGTCTAGAGAACACTTACCTGATTGATGTGACAGTGATACTAAAGCAGTGAACAGAGTGAAATACAAAATATATTTCATCATAGCAACGAGTGCAACTTCGGCAAAGTTCGAATCGAAATAACTAGTGCTTGTATGAAACATTGTCACGCATTTATATAGATACGTACAAGCTGCCGTTATGATTCATCGCGCGTTACTGAAAATATTTGTTTAAACTATTTTTCTGTTTGATCAGATGTCAGGAATCTGTTAAAAATACATTGAATTCAACGGATTTAAAAAAAAGGACATTTCGCATACGCAACCATTCGCCACGAAAAAAACTTGACTCAAAGAATTGTTTTCTACCCTCTAGCATCGATCACGCCGATGTACTCAGCGAAGATAAAATAGAACATCATTTGTTTGTTCGATCTGTTTTCATATTTCGTACACCAAGATTCTACTGTATGCTTTCTTTTTGCATAACTGTTAATCGGATTTATTGTCTCAATCAAATCAAACTTATTGGTCATAAATTATAAATCATTGTTAATTTATATTTTCCACGTATTCATGCATTTCTAATGTTTCAACGTTATTGAAGCTATATATACATCACGTGCGTTCCCATTCACCATCAAGATTCTCAATAGGCTTATCAATTACATGACTACATTGATTGTTTGCAATCTTTTTAATTGATCTACGAACCAAAGTAGAACTAATTGTTGCATGGCATCGAGATGAGTTCTGATATGCTTACTAGACACAGCTTCGAATAGAATGTCGAGCTAATAGTTCATTGTTGGATTATGGTTAAAAGAAGGAGAAAAAAGCAGAAAGAGGACGTTTGTTGTGTCTCTTGTCACAAAGAAAACTGTTGAGAACGGAACGAAAAAAGAAGAAGGATCGGAGAAAAAGGAATAGTCAGATAGAAACTCATTAATATTGGAAAGAAGAAAAGAAAAAGAAAACGTGCTCTGCAACATACTACATACTTTTAATTCGCTCACAACTATGAATACAGCTATAATGGAAAGTTATGAGCTCGAAGAAATGGTGGTAGCAGAAGATGTTCAAGGAGCATTACTGAATAATGAGCAAAAGGAGGAAAGTGATTACAAGTTAGCAGTCAGGTCAGTCGAATAAAAATAATGTTTTCTTATTAGATAGACTTTTTCTTGTTTTCTGTAATCTAGGCACAGAAAACCTGGACGACGTTTACGGCTTTACTTTTGTTGTATATTGTTTTCTTCGCTTTTGTTTGCAACGATACTTGTCCTATTCAGTTCGTATATATTCCATCCTTCAAATACAAAAACTCAATCAAAAGAAAACGTCGAAATCGAACTGATTTGGACTAGCGGTTTTCCAAAATTGTTAACCGAAACAGCTTTTCGTCTAGTTGATTGCAATTCTGATGGTATACTCGATGTTATCTTGGGTTATGGCACAGGCGTGGACACTTTAGCCGATAATCAATTGCTATGTGATCTTTATTTCGATGGAATTTCTCCATGTAATGGAGGCGTGAAAGTACTGAAAACGATTTGATCATAACTAGTTGAAAACAAAGTTCCATTAGGCTTTAGATGGTCGTAACGGACAACTTTTATGGAGTTACAACAAATCCAATCACGAAGTGTTTGCGTTGAATTGTCAACGAGATATCGATGGCGATCATATTCCGGATTGTTTAACTGGTGGACGAGGAGGAGTAAGTTCAACAACTTTGAAACATATTTTAACTTCTCTTCTTTAAACGTTTTTATTTTTAGACGTTCGAAGCTATCAGTAGCAAGACAGGTTCATTGATATGGACATTTGATAATGATATACGCAATGCAACGATGAACTTTTATACACCATTATATTTAGAAAAGGATTTTGATAATGATGGTGTCAATGATGTTATTACTGTGCATGGTGGTGATCCCATACGAAAACCACGTTAGTTCTAATATGAAATAATCGTTTGAAAATATTGCCGATTTTTCTCTGTTAGACGATGTAGTTAGATTAGCAGGCGAAGTGCTTCTGATTAGTACAAAAACTGGTAAACTATTAAATATGTCGATCGTTCCTGATCGAATGGAATCTTATTATTCTCCTCAATTATTGAAAAGATCTGGCAAGGAAGAATACATACTTATTGGAACCGGTGGAGAAACACATGGTGGAGCTCTATATGCACTCGATCTTAAATGTTTTAGAGAATATTGTGCAACACCGGTGCGTATCAAAGATTTCGTTAAATCTTCAACCATATTTCTTCTATTTAGTACACTGAAATCATCAGGGATAGGTTTAAAGGTGTGATGACACCTCCGGTCCTCGTTGATGTGAATGACGACAAAATCGAAGATATCATTATTCCTTTGTATAATTCGACTCTATTTGCATTTGATGGAAAAACGTTTAAACAGCTGTGGAAACGAACTTTTCTCAGTTCGGAAACGTACAGGTAGGTGAAGTACATATTTTCTTTCGTATAATTTCATTTTCATACTCTTGTCTCAGCTCACCTGCAGTTGGATATTTCAATGATGATGATACGCCAGATATAATGATTCATTATCAAACCGGACCTGGGTATCCGTTGTATTATAGTGCACAAGTATTGCAAGAATGTCGATTTCCATGAAAAAATGTTTCTTTTGTTTAATTAGACAACTATTCTTGATGGTTTGACAGGTAAAACAATACTCGATAAACCAATCGAACAAACTATCGGCGTTCAAAGTTCTCCATTAACTGGTTGAGTTTTCTTCTTCTTATTGATTTCGAAAAATGACTGTTATATACTGCTATTCTAGTTAGTTTCAAACAACGTGGACATGACATGTTCATTTATTGGATGGGTGAATGTGACGGGATTGATAATAATGTTGATGATAGAAAAATAGACTATGATAAAAGTACAATGATTATTTTGTGAGAAGCGGAAATTGATTCTTTGAATATAGATACACCGAGTGCTCTTCTTTCACATGCTGATATGTGTAAATTGAGATACCAAACAACGAGTTTTACTGCGCTTCATGGTTTAACACAATCTATGAAACCACCTGGTGTTCTCATCTACAATTCAAGTAAATGAAAGTGGATTGTGAAGAAAAACGTTTTGAGTCTTTGTGTGTTTAGATCATCATGTAGCTATTGAACGAAGTACTGCTCAATCCAGTTCAATCGATATTAAGAGATTTCTTCAACAACATCCTGAACATGCGTCGACATATCGATCGTGGGTACGATTGGATAATTACATGGAGGTTAGACATAGAGACTTAAGATTGTGTTCTCATGGTATTTTTCTGAAAAGGGAAAACAAACGGAAGATCCAAATCGACCGTCTGCATCTGATGAGACCAGCGGCGAATTTGCATTGAACGACGAGAATAAAGAAAATACCGATTTTCGTGTAATTCGAAAGAGACACAAGCGGCATGTGGGTCCACACGATAATGGTGGATTACAGCGAACGATTTCGACTGGTAGAAAGCAAAAGCATCGGTTTGAATTCATCCATATGGAATTTTGTCTTCAGGAACATTGGCACCTTCATTCGAGTTGAATTCCAAATCAACGATCGATTTGATTTTTGCAACCTATTGGATTCATTCGGATACATCTACACTATTGCACGCAGATGAACGGGCTTGTATCGAAGAAGGCATGGCGAAAGAAGAAGATCGACTAAAACCAACAAATCGTAAACCAATCCTTGTGCAGCAATAAACGTTTTTCTATTGTTTATCTTTTAGCAATTGTATACGGAATGGATCATGATGCATATGAACATTACATAGAAGAAATCTGTACAAACAAAACTCGCTTACGTGAGACAATACTGAAAATATCTCCAGATTTAATCGATCAAGTGCAAACATCGATGTCAAATCCATTCAAAAAACAACTAGGACAATTAACTGTTTATCGTTTTCGACTTCGTTTTCAGAATATGAAATGTGAACGAAATGATTCCTCGACTTGTCAAGTGACTAATGAAAATGATAATCTTCTACCATATAAGCAACAAATTTGGCCAGCTTACATGGGAATCAATGGTGATTGTCATGCCAATAATCGAATTTAACTTCCTATTTTTTTAAAATATTGAACGCATAAATAAATTGTGATATTTTACATTGAACAGATGGTTCAATATTGATCCATCGATCAAACAGATTCTTTCTATTTTCACTTTGGGATACTTACTATTTCTGTCATATGATTATTTCAGAGTTAAAAGGTCAAACTAGTCGCTCTATTACATGAGATTTGAGCACATTGGTCGGCTCCATTTTTTTCTGACGATTCGTCACGTTTTTTCTCTTCTCTGTATTTTTTTCCTTTTAGCTTCCTTGTCCTCGCCGTCTGTTGCACCAACTAGGCAGACAATTTACGTCAGCTAGACGAAGACATTTGCTTCGCATTCTCTTTTCTTTTCTCGATCGACGAAGTATTACTTATGGCGTTCGCCATCATCGTCGTTTTCCTCCTTTTTCTATCCAATCTACCACCGTACATGCTCTTACAATATTGTGGTATTGTTGAAAAGTAAAGGACGATAGAAAGAGAAAAGAGTAGAAAGTGTGAGAGAGAAATAAATAAATGCAGAAAGCATTCACATCGTATAAAGTTTCGAATTAAATGTCGACTAATCCATAAGTTGTCTTTTCATTATAGATCAACATTTCATTTGATTTAATCGATAAGAAATGGATAATTCTGTATGTAAAATGTTATGTAAAAATCGGTGACATATTCGAGGTTTTGGTTTTAGTCTTCGTCATCGCGTGTCAAGCAAACAGCTCGTACAATCGAATTCGAGCTTAAACAAAACGGTCCCTACATCTTAGCTGGCTTAGGTGTAAGTGGTGGTCTTCTTCTTTTAGCTAACCGAAATATTCCGGCTATTGGTATTCCAATTTTATCATCAGCTGCTGATCGTGTTGCTTGTATGTTGTATTCGACAGAAACCTCAATGTTTGAAATGCATTTCGTTTTGTTTTCTCTCTTTAGATGCCCTCCGCTGGACAGGTCTTGAGGTAAAATGAATTCTGAATTTGAACGTTTGTATTACAACAAAACTTCTTCCTTCGTAGGGTATTTCAATGGTCACCGCTATATGGTGCGTTATTGGTGTTCGTTCTAAATGTAAGCGAACTTTGATGTCGATGTAGAAACAATATTGTTTTTTCTTCAGATGGAATTGAACCAACATCTTCAGAAGGCAATCATCACTTACAAATGACACAACGAATTCTAACGAATACAACTGAATCATTTCTTGCATTTACTGCAGCTAAACTCGCTTTAGCATCTGTGCTCGAATCAAACAATCTTCGTATAATTCCTGCTTTATCAGGCCTGTTTATTCTTGGGTAAGTGGACTCAAACAAATTCTGTTAATCAAATATGTATTTACATCTATTTCTAGTCGCTATACATTTGATGCAGCGATCAATCATCCCGCACGTACATTTGGTTACACAATCAATGCTGTCGCTACATTCACAGCTTATGGCCTCTTTCTTTACAAATTACTCTCTGGTGGTATTCATTCTAATCTTCTTCCATTTTCACTTCGCTAAAGATTGAATGAAACAACAGGCCAAAGAAAAAACTGAATCCACAGAACAATTTTTCTCTAATCTTTTTTGTATTGTATCGTAGAATAATGTAATCTGAATTCTCTAAACTTATTGACTACTTGTTTATAAAACAAGCTCTTTTCCTCGCGTCCTACAATAAAAATCGACCTTATTATTCCTTAAAATTTCAAAATGAGTCGTCCACATAGTGATCATCGCAAGACAACAAGAATCGAAAATAAAAGCATACTATACACAATCGAAGAAGAACTGTCTGTATGCATACCAACCAGAAAATGTCAGGTAATGCGATTCATGTCGTAATTGTCATGTGTCTCAGCGATAAATTATCGTTTCATAGTCGTGTGAACATCTGTCTCCTTACAAGCTAAATCAGCAGATGAACACTTGAGAGAAAATAGAAAGCATGGCAGACTTGTCTCGATTGGTTGAAAGTAACCAATAGCATAGAAAGGCTGGTTGTCAATGGAATTAAACAACAAAATGGTGATGTAGAAACAGTTTCTAGTTAACGGTAGAAAAGGTGTTTTACTTGTCAACAATGACGGACCATACAGTCTCCGAGCATTTGACTAAAACTGATGGACACGAAGTTAGAAAGCTCTCTTATTGATAAAAGAAATACTCAGCTCTCTTTTTTTTTGTTCATAGTTGCACGCAGAACATGAACAAGATGGAGAAAACGCACTAGACGCGAATGAAGAAGCAACAGATCAACCTATCGATGGAGAAAACGGTCAACAGGAAGATAATTCACCACCAAAAGTTCAACTACAACCGATCATTGCGCCTGATATGTTTCCTCCGTTCGTTTTTTGTCTAAAACGGCAGCTTTTCGAAACTTAATCATGTTTTTGCTTCCAGGCCAGTTGTTGTTTGTGATCATCCTGAGAATTATCCTGTATCATATCGATCGAACTCGAAAAAAGAACAATTGATCTTGACATTCATTGAAAATTTTCGTCGGCAATATCATCATCTCTATCGCGATCGCAAACCACTGTTTTTAAATCCATACAATGAATGTGGTGTACAAGTACGTATCCTAATAATTTAACGTCTACTTCCAGTGTCACGAATAAAATCAATTTTCCGTAGAAATTCGTTTGCACAACAGTTCAACCAACGTTACTTTCATTTTCAACATTATTTCAATGGGACGCAGCAGCAGAATTCGTCGCCGATCATCTCAATTATGAATTACTCGAACCACCACACGAAATTGTACGTTGAGAATCGATTTTTTTCATTCAATCGACCTTTCGATATTGTCTGTTTCTTTCCAGCCCAAAACACTTTGGTCACCAACAAAAATTCTTCTGGATCAACGTGGTAATTGCTTTGATTATGCCACTCTACTCTGCTCATTATTAATCGGTGCTGGATACGATGCTTACGTCGTCAGTGGTTATGCAACAAGAGAAGTTTGCTACATGGATACAACCCGATTGCCAAATCCTTATATGAAAAAGAAAGAAGAGGTATGTTGAATTCACTTTTTTCTTCGAGTTTCTCATGGTGAACTTCTTTAGAAACGTCCGGAAAAAGTCAAACCTCCATATAAGAAATATACAGTTAAACCGCCGAAGGATTTAACATCGAAATACGATGCTTATATGCATCAACGAAAACTGAATGAAATTCAAGCAGAAAAAGATCGCAAGCAAGAAGAAGAAAATCGACGAATTGCGGTAATTTCTACAAAGAAATTCATTGATGTTTTGTGAAAGATTGTTCCGCCTATAGGAAATTGAAAAACCATTACCTGATCCACTCTATGGCATTCGAGTACATGCTTGGGTCTTAGTTCTCTCCGGTAAACGTGAAGTACCTGAAGCATTTTTTATTGAACCAACAACAGGCTATGGTAAAGCAACAAATGATGTGGAGTACTTAGGTATTGAGAGTGTTTGGAATCATCAAAACTATTGGGTCAATGTTCAAGATTGTTCCAACGGTTGCGAGGTTAGTTTGTTTTCATATTGCAATTATATAAGAGAATGACTGATTGAGAATGTTTTCAGTCACTTCAATTCGATTTGAATGATCAAGCACGATGGGAATTTATGTTTACATATTCGGCAAATTTACGTGGCACACTAACGGCTACGTTAAACACTGTAGGCAATTCAGCAATTCTCGATGAAGAAGACGAGAAAGTAAATTGGAACCTTTGTTTGCCTTCAGGAAAGTTCACATACATATTCCAATCTATATTTTATAGCCAAGTACTGAAGCTACGCAAAAGGATATCGAACTACCTCCATCATGGGTTGATCATCTTGTTTTAACGAAGAAGGGTATAATCATTTGAAGAGTTCAACGTTTGACAAATGATATCTTTCATAGAATTCCAAGAGCGATATCCACATTGTCGTAAAACGTATTTCTATAAGAAGACTCGAGTAGAAAAATATGCACCATATCATATGAAAGATGGTATCATCCTTAAAGTATCCGAATTTGCTGATTATGACTGTAAGTTTCATTGAACAATTCAAAGCAACAATGTTTCAATTGATGATATTTAGTCAAAGACCTCATTTATGTTACACAAAAATATGCTCATCGTCAGGATAAACTGGAAGAACGTAGACATGATGTTCGAAGTAACATAGTCTACGAAAACTATTTACCAGGTCGATCTGATCATTTAAAAGGTAAATTCTAACATCGAATGTCGTGAGTACTTCATTTTGATCTTTGTTTAGAGCATACATACGGCTTTGGACCTGAATTTGAACGTATAATGATCTATTATGACAAAGCGCGTATAGATGGCTTAGCTAAACGGCACGAAACTACACTTGAATTAACGGATTATTTTGTTAATCGCGACGACTTTCTTGAATATCGGAAAGCTATGTTCGAACCTCGACCGAAGAAGTTCGGTCCAGCTGATAAGGATACTAATCGGCCAATTCTTGTAAGTAAATTTAGTTTGAGCACTGATGTAGATTTCCTCCCTGTTCGTATCTGTTTTAGTCGATTACCGAACAATACGGTCGAAATTTAGAATTGAATGCCAATGACGATGTTCGTGAGATAGTCTATGGGATTAAAGATGAGAAATTCGTCATTACTTATCATCGCGATGATATTCACATTACACCATCGACGAGGTAAGTTGAGAATTGCAAACTTGTGTGTGATTACAATAGATAGCTTCGTTTTTTTTTAAATTTATAGAACGTTCATCAAACCGGTAAGTGCTCCACAGAATGAATGAGATGAGGCCTGTAAAACTCGATTTAGCCTAATTGGAATGATAAAACCGTAACGTTGAAATGGAGTGATGATCAATTAGAAACTTACCAGGCCGATGAAGATTTCAAGCAATTGTCGAAACGTGATTTGTATCATAAAATGCTTCAGCTATTAGAACAAGAAGAAGAAGTTATTCGACGCGTTCGAAAAGCCGAAGACGAAGTAAACTGTTTTCCCCACTAAACATACATGCATCAATTAATCGATCTTTTCAAAAGACACGTGATCTGCAAAATCGTCGACAACAAGAAGAACTATTAAGCGATCTCGAAGTTAGTGTTTATGATACCGATCGAAACAATAAAGCGAAACAATACCGAGAAGCATTGGTAAATGACTCATCGATTTAGGCAAATAAGTCTTTCGCGATTGTATTTCTTTAGGAGAAAAAAGCGAAAGAAGAAAATGACAAGAAGAAGATACCTGAAATAAACTATCTTGCACCATTTCTTGCTGCCATCGGTTCGTAGTTCATAAATCTTCTTTCATGCACTTTCCGATCGATTGTTGACAGGTAATCCTAGTCGAATCAATGCACAAATCGCCAATCAATTACGTACTGCTGCGATACGTGACTTTAAAGAACGTTCAATTCGTAAAGCGAATCTCATGCAAGCGCGATATGAAAGTGAAATTCAGGAGCTATTTACTAAACAGCAATGGTACCAAAAACATCAAATTGGTATGACGAAAGAAGATGAACTCGAATACCAACGTTTATGTCAGGAAGCACAATTTCGTTTGCATATACTCGAAGAACGATTAGAACGGTCTGTTCAAATGTCATCTTTCGATTATGGTTGCATTTCTTTCTCTTTTTGTTAGACATAGACAATTAACAACTGAGAAGTATATGCAATTGGAAAATAAACTCCAAGAAGATTCTCGTTTGAAAGAACCATATATTATTCCAACGGAAAAAAAGAATAGTTAATCTTCAAACGCTGAATTCGAGTCTTCTTTTTATCTTTATCTGATTATTTCTTGATTTTATTTTATAAAAGAGATTGTGTTCGAAGGAAGAAAAGAGAAATGACAGAATAAACGTATACACACACAAACTTGATTAAAGAGAAAATAACACTTTTATACATTAAATGTGTCGATTAACTCGCGTAATAAGACAAAAAAAAACATGATTTCTTTTTTTCTCTGAACATTAACGAAAAGATTGCACAAAATGCATCATAAAAAGAAGACCAAAACCGCTCCGTTTAGCTTGTAATAGTCGTTGGTAAATTTACATCTGACAAATTTTGCTTACGAACCAATTGAGATTACACCCATGAATCAGGCGATGCAGATGGTTGACTTAGTTGATTCCATGTTGCTGGTTGAACTTGTTGTGAGCGGGTTTTATGAACTGTAGCGTAGAGATCAGCATGTGGATCCATATGAATGGGAGTCATCTAAAGAAGGCAGGATAAAATTGTTGAATTAGTTGACGTTTTCACCACTTACTCCATTTCCGTATGTTCTCGATAGATTGTCAACACTTTGATTCATTTTTTGCATTCGATATTCTTCTGTTCCTACAAATCAACAGCTTTTTCATCGTATCAATCGATCATTTTCGTGAGTCTTACTTTGAGGACGCACGATTTGTTTTCCCTTCGCTGTAAAATGTGTTGGTTGACCCATATCACCTCTTGGCCGATGTAATGTCGATTGTGGACTCGATGTTAATGATTTCGAATTGATTGATCGATGCTGGAGAAAATCATTTTCTTTATAACTATTTTGCTTATAGAATTCATGTAAAGATTTATGTTTATACATTGTATTAAGAACGTGTGCAGTATATTTAACAACTTTTGAACTGTAGGTAGTTGCTTTTGCGTTCATAATACCTTTCATTTTTGCTACGCCACCTTCTTGGAAGAGAATTTTTGCATTGACTTCATTCGTACGAATGATTTCATTCAACGCAGCTAGGACAGATGCGAATGTTTCATCTGAATGTCGACGTCGAGCTGCTGTTTGTTCCGATGGATCAGGTAGAACAGCAACAAGTTCTTTAATGGCCCATCCACCCAAAACATCACAATTTTTCGGATCAATAGCTAGATTGCGCAGAGCAATGGCTGATGCATTAACAACAGAATCACATTCGACAACACGTAACAGATCAACTAATTCAACGAGACCACGCGCTTTTCGAACCTCCGCACGTAAATCAATCGATGGTTTCCAATAACAAGCAGCTAAACAACGCAGATAATGAACATTTCAATAAAGCAAAAAAGAACAAATACTCACTTAAATTTTGAATGCATCCAGCTGTTGCCTCTAATGTGTCTGGGTTGCTGCTATTCCGTAAGAGATGAACATATGTAACAATCACTTCTGGTTGCCAAAGCATTTCCACAGGTCGACCTTGTCTTGGCGGCATGACAGCATATATATTGTTTCCTGTTTGTTCATAGATTTGCTTGCCTTTCTTCTGTTTCGAACTCATACAACCTGTCTTGATCTTTTCATTGGATTGTCCCGGCGTCATGCTCCACGTCGATGTCGTATTCATATTAGCTGGGTAATTTCGATCGTAGTCTCGATCGACAACCTCTTGCAATTTATAAGATAAATTACGTAAGACACACATGCAATTTTCAATTGATTTATTGTCGATTTCATTCAAAGATTGAAGACTGGAGTTAACGGCATGTAGTAATGAGGGAATAAATCCTTCACATTCACGCATCTTACGACGACCTTCATAGTCAGCTGATGAACAATTCCTAGAACAAAGAAAGAACGGAACTGAGTTAATAAATCAATTCCTTTCTCAAATAAAATATGCATGATGTTTAGTCAGCAAGCAATGCTAATCGAAAAGTACGTTCATTACCGGAGTATTCCAGTTGTATTCTTGAACACAGGCGGAAATTTGCCTTGTGGATTCAATCGTCGATTGATATCGGCATCCCAGCCTGAGAATGGGATGAGAATATTTTTCACAAGAACATTTAAACCTTCATCAACGATTTGTCCTTTCAAGTGCGGAGATGAAGATGCATTCCAAAGAACAGCTGTAACCGATTCACGAACATCTTCGTAGGGTGTTCGACGTAGAAGATGAATCAATGCGGGTATACCATCGCGATTTTTCAATTCGATCTATTCAGGAAAAAGAGAATTTGTACATGGAAGAAGATAAACATCGTCAAACCTTATTCTCATCATTTCGTTTTCCATAGCATAGGTTTCTCAATGCTCCACATGCATTTTTTTGAATTTCCACTTTATCATGGTTCAACAGAGCAACTAAATAAGTTATACCATTCAATGATCTAGTTTTCGATTTAATATTATCATCATTATAGCATAGATGTTGCAGATAAGCAGCGGCATTTTCTTTGATAACGTCACTTGAATGAGTCAGATATTCGATAACTTCTTCAAGATCAGGATCACGCCAATGTTGTTCTATAGAATATGCAGAATATTGTATATTTATCAAAAGTTCGAGAAAATAAACAAGATAGAAATGCCAAGCAAAGCAGGGAAATCGAGAAATTTTACCTCGAAATTCTGTATCAACTGAAGGCGATCGTCGTTTTGACGAATCATTATCTTCATTTAAGCCAAACGGTGCATACATACGACTCAATGTTCCATAATCTTCTCCGTAGCCAGGAGGAGCTGAAAAAAGCGTATTTTAAGCCAAATGCATATACATACAGCAAGCAACAATAGCAAAAAGCTGTGGTCAAACAATGAATTACCGTGTCCGAGACTATCAGGTGATTGTCGACCAGCGGTGGGCATCAGCACACGGCTGACTGGATCAGGTCGACCCGGTCCTAAACCTTCATAAGGATTTTCGACGTCAAGATCGGGTTCATCAACTAGATTTGGATCATTTGGGTCATAACCCATGCTTCTTTCATCTGTATTGACTAGAAAAAGAACAAGAACAGACATTAAAGAGACAAAAGAAAAACATCTGTGTGAAGTATACTTTTATTGTTTTCTGGTTCATTGTAACCATTACCGTTGAAAGGTTGTTGAGAACCGTTTCGTCCATTTGAATAAGTCTCATTATTATGGTTATTAAGATCAAAATGTTTCATTCCATTTGTTATCTCCTTTGCTATACTCTCATATTGAGAGTAGGATGAATTGGGAAGGAATCCACCACTCATATCATGTTTCATCGAGATGTGATGTTTTGAATCAGTTGCTCGATTGGATTCACCGTTCGATGGCTCAATTAAATGATGATGAACACGAGTGATCTTTTCGACTTTTGTTACTTTCGAAACTTGCTGTGATTCTTCGCGTTTTCGGATAACTTTTGTTCCATCGGGTGTTGTTTCTTCTTCGACTGTTGTTGTTACTTTAACGATATTTGTTTGAGGATTGTCATTATCGTCACCATCGGATGTATACGTATACGAATAAACATGACGTTCATGTTGAAGATCATCTAATTTAGTTTCGCCAGGCATAATGGAGATATAAGTAATGATTGATTATAACTAAAGAAGAAGAAGAAGAAGAAGAAAGATTGAGATTATGGGAAAAGAATTCAGTTAATGTCTATATTTCTAGATCAAACATATGGAAGATTAATTACAAATCGATTCTGTCATGTCCAGTAAAGAAAACTAAAGGTCATATGCAAAGAAGAACAAAATTCGCATATTGTTCATACGTATCAGTATGAAATCTTATCGATTTCTAACAAAGAAATGAAGAGAATGAAACATTTTTACAACGAAGTCAATCATCCTAAGCTAAGTAGAGCATAAATCCCTCCAGGACAATGTATGTTCTGTTATAAAATCTCTTCAATGCATTTTTTAGTTACATCAACTCTTCTATTGTCCTGAAGGTACACATATAAACTGTAAAGTATCTCATTCGCTATGTTCTACAATTGTATTTTATCTAGCCAGTAGATAAATCTAACTCACTCGTGCAAATAGCATGTAATAGATTTTCATTTCTGTCATACTCTGCGAGACATAAGACATATGGTATCTAAAAAAAAGGAATGCAATTTATTCATCTATTTAACAAATGGAAGTCGTTTCTATTCTCCTTCGATCTCCCATGTATATATAAATACTTGACTAGTTGGGGAAGAAAAAGCCGGAAAGTCATTGTGACGAGTACAATCTTTTCTATTTGTTTCAATGTAATCAGAAAAAGCCTTGAATGAACAAATATAATCAACAAATGGGACAGAAGAGAGAATCGCTTACCATCATCAGCTATTTTACTTCATCTCTTCTCTTCCGAGATAGATTTCATATATTTTATTCTCTCGTATTTCATACACATATAATATAGACAGTCAGAAATCAAAATAACAATAACTCTTTACTACTGCGTACTCGGACATAGGGCGCACGAGACATGCATACATATATGTGTGTGTGTGTGTGTCTGTGTGTGTACACAGAATGACCGACAATGTGTGTTGACCATATGAGAAATGCGAGCAAGAAAAGAAGAAATGCAATTTGTTGTCTAGCTTATAGACAAAGGACGAATAGCGGCGTAAATTGAACGACTATCCAAGTTTTTCGTAATAAAGAGTAGATCTTCGACATTGAAGAGAATATTTATAAGTGATCTCGAAGCTCGAAAGAAGATAGTAGACAGAACAATTAACTTCACTTAGCGACAAATTCAGTTAATCTTACCTGAAGGGACCAGTAGTAATCTATATGGAACGTTTCATGAATGACCAGTCTAATAAATTATTCGTATTAATCTTAAAATAATCAAATCGATACAAAGAGAAATATTAATCAAGCCATTGATGATACACGAAGAAGAAAAGAACAGACAAATGTCGAGAGCATAAAGAAAAAGAAAATGAATAGTTAGCGACATCATTTTTCTGAGCCGCCGCCATATGTATTGATGTTCAGCCTCAACGATGACTATCCATTGAAATCAACAAAAATAGTATTCGTTAACGTATCTCTCTCGCTCGTGGTAAACACTACAGACATGACATTTCCTATTGAATCTTTCATGTGTCGCAAAACGTTTCATAGATGATGTAAGTTACTTCATATTTTCAATTTCTCTCGACAAATAAAGAATTATTGCCATTTTGTTCGTAATATAACATCGATTTATATTGCATAAAATGTGGGAAAAAAAAGAACGTTTCTCTTCAAAAAAAGAAGCTTTTACTACGTCGAGTTTTACGCATTTGAGCAAAGTCAGATATGAATGTCCATAGACCAATTGATGCATCATATTCCGCTACGATCATCGACAGAAAATTTACTTCGTTACGTTTATTGTTTTCTAGTTCGATAAGATACGTTAATTTATCATCTACATCATCGAGATTGAGCATAGATGCAAGTAATGTCACACTAGCTCGATGGGTGACGATGAGTACCGTTGGCGGTGAGAAGGATAGTCCTTTTCTACCTCGAGTCAATAACCTATCGATAATTCTCTTCAATACAAAATGCGTTCGACGAAAATAATCTAAGCGTGTTTCACCATATATGAGACGACTGTCGTTCGATGGAAACGTCGGCTGATAATAAAGATCAACGTTAAAACCTGCTGATGCAAAGAAATTCGCCGATTGTAATGGTAATTCTCGTCGTACTGGTTCATGGAGAGCAAGGTCAATTTTCAATGGTATATTTCTCCGATTGCCGCAACCTTGAAGAACAGAATCAGCAGTTTGAATACAACGCATCGCTGGTGACGTATAAACTTGATCAGGGATTAGATTTAACGAACGAAAGAATTCTCCTGTACGTTTCGCATGATCTTTTCCATATCTGCTCAACGGCGTGTCGAGAACGTGTTCATAGGGATCTGCGCGATGTGGTAACACTGTTGGTAATTGCCTCACATGAGGAACGTAGACTCCATTAATGAAAGCTTCCGCTGGCCAATCACGATTTTGTAAAACAGAATCTAACCGTTCAGAATGTCGCATTATGATAATTCGTGGTTTCCTCATGTTGGCTGAATGTCACTTCACTTATCGATCGTGTAAATAGTTTTGCTCGTTAGCAGAATATTAATTCACATATATATACACATATAGAGTTGGTCTGTTTTTCAAAACAAATCAGTCGAGCGCACACACAATCGTTTCCAAATTAAAGTAAAAAACAGCAAGTAACTATTTTTTTCTAATGGTATATCATTTAAGAGTCTATATATATATTTTTATCGATAATATCTTTCCAAGGTAAAGAAAATATTATTTATTTTATCGAATTTTTTCATACAAACGTACTGTCTCTGGACACTCGCCACAGATCGACAAACAATTTTCATAGATCATTTCCAAAACTTGAATCTTTGTCTCCTCTCCTAAGACATGGATTCTGTTCTGTGGAATGACAATGATGATAATTATTTGCGAAAAAGACAAAAATTTGCCACCTTGCCATTTCTGTTCGCTTATGTCTGTTTCTATTCGTTGATTCTTACTCGCCGACCGTCTCTATTGACGACGGTCGGGAATGGGCGACGAACGTGCGCATCTAAGACAGCGCGCGCGAGAGAGAGAATAAAACACGTCACTCGTCGACTTTTCTTCTTAGTTAGTACTGCCTATCGACGGATGTATACCGACGTATGCTCGTTCTTTTTCTATTCCTCCATTTGGTTCGTGTAGAACAGAGAAAGACAAACTCCAATCATGTTTTTTTCTTTGACGATAAAATTTGCCCTCGACAAAGCACAATTCGTCATTTTGTATTTTCATTTTAGAAAAAACTCTCGATTTATCTCTTCACTCGAATCTATCATTTTTCTTCTTTTCTCTTTTCCTTCATACATCTCAACAAGTCGGACTATTTGGCAGTTGCATATTAACAGTCGGCGAAATCTATCACACACGCACACATTCAATTGTTTAGTGTATTTGATAAAATAAATATTGATTGATTCCTCACCAGAACACACCGATTTGTCATCATATCAAAACGCAAGACTGTCCATCGACATCATCTTATTAAAAACGGTAACTAAATTGAAAAACATCTTTTCTTATTTTCAACTATTGCACACTGGATATTTGTCTACGTGATCCACAAGGAAAACTCGGTTATTCTCCATCAAAGAAATCAGCTGCTCTTCGTCCAGTCAATTCTATTTGTGATGAATAGGCACTAAATTCAGTTGATATAAAAATCCGATTGAAATTCCTCTGTCTATTTGACTCATTTTCAAGACAAAGCATTTCTGTTGTATCAGCACGGAGATGATATTCATTGAGCGTTCGCATAGTTTCTTTCGAAAAGTATTGGCCAGCTTGAAAAAATGGAGGATAGTGCGCATATGTATTCATTTCTCTTCTGGCTTCTCTTTTCAAACGTGATCAAGCTTGATTTACGAATCAAAAAAGTTGGCATTATTATGAAAAACAATGCATTTGCACACATGTGTATATTACAATCAAGTCTTATTGAAGAAAAGACCATTATTGATAAAGCAAGTTTTACAACAACTGCTCGTCACGTTCGTCGATTACGCCAAGTATCTCAAGATTGAAGTAGGCTTACACGAAAAAAGGAAATCTCGCCGGGTTAGGTTATAGAAGAAGTAACTGATAGATTGCTTGTCTATTGCATTCACTCAATAAGGAGATCAAATATGCTGACTAGGATATATTATCCAAATGGAATCAAATAGTTTCTTCGACAAGTGTATTTGTGAAAATGTTTTATGAAGAGACGAACAATTAAGTGCAGTAGATCGATAAAATTCCGACATAACAGAGAGAGAGAGGACGATGACTGATATTCAGATAGAATTTGAGTTAGTTTTTTTCGCATACGACTAAGTCGTATTTCTATGAACTGAACGAACCTCGAAAGCAGGTTTTTATCGGATACATGTTAACCACACTGGTATACGTCATACAATTGTTCTAGGAACTAAAAATGTTCTATCCTGTGAGTGTGTTTGACCTAGTCCAAGCACTTGATCACTTCCAGTGTGAGAAAATAGATAAGATATATGAGTTCGAGTTTATCATCAATCATTATTGACTTGTGCTAATTCTCGTAAATGACCGATGAATATTAGGCTCTACTCGTATTTTCTATCGATGAACAATAATTAGAATGAATGACGATATCATAATCTATATCCTATTTGAACGTGATGGTATATTCTTGGTTATACATATATATATTGAATTGGCTAGAATGTAGGTGTGCCTTTACCCACTTGAACATCAATCTTCTCGTAATCGACTGAAATTTAAATACCGCCGAAGAGCACGTTGATAAAGTTCAGTGATTGGTGTTTATGAACAAATGCTCGTTTCATTTTTCGAATGAATATACATGCACATATACAAACACACACGATAAGATTAGGTCAATTGTCAATGTATTGTGTTACAATATCGACGATGTCCACCATTTCAAGCAGCCATTCAGTGTATCATCTGGAACTGTATCATGTTCAAGAATTGTACTTTCTATTCTTATGCCTGTAGGAACTACGATCGTTGAGAGAGTTCGAAGCACAAAGATTTGATCGTTATTGTTGTAGTTTTTCGTTAGAAAATTTGAGAATAGTGTGAATATTTCCCCATGATCGAAAGAACGAAGAAAGGTACAACAAAAAAAGCTTGATACTAGGATAGATCGATATCTTCTCACTTGATGTTTGTAGAATTTATAAGTTTCCATCGATGTTAATCCTATGTGCCTATGGAAATAGAGAGTATTCAATTTTGTAATGGCTTGTCATCTCATCAAAGGTTTTGTTCTACTGTTTGATACTTAGAGAGAATTATTGCATTGAAGGAAGGATGAAGTGTAATTTGATTACCTATGAGAAGTACTTCGAAATGGCGTACATTTTATTGAGCAAGTAGTTTTACGTGTGATAGGTACATAGAAAGTTCTAACACAGCTGTGTATCACTTTTCTTTTTGTCGGAAAATTCTTTGGTAATTCTCTTCATAATGTATATGCAACAATCGATCTTGGTTCCTGTTACTTGTCGGCATTAATGAAACTATCCAAGCCATTCAAATCCCGAATTATGAAATCGCTTTCTTTTTCTACCTTATTAATTGTGTTGTTGAATTACGAGTTCAATTTCTTTATTTCTCTAATCGTTTACTTAAGTGCGGAATTCACCAAGTTTCGTTGTGCACTATAAAAACTGAAGTGCAGCTGAAATTCCAAAGCCCATTAATTCGATTTCTAATATTACCTTTTCATTTATTTCAGTATATTGACATAAATCTAAGATAACACTTGACTATGTCCGTCATTATACGTTTGGAAAACCTTCCATGGGAAGCGCGTTCAATCGATATTCGGCGTTTTTTCCAAGGACTTCAAATTCCAGATGGTACATCATTTCTAAATCCATCATAATCGATGTAATGTCGTTTTGTTTAGGTGGTGTACATATTGTAGGAGGTGAGCGAGGCGACGCATTTATTGCCTTTAATTCGGATGACGATGCTCGGCAAGCAATGCAGAAGGATGGCGGTCTGATCTGTCAGCAGCCAGTTAAATTATTTTTGAGCTCAAAAATAGAAATGCAGAATGTTATCGCAGCCGCACGTGGTAAACCATCGGCACCATCGATGGCCGTGCCGAACTCGAACCAACCGAGCCAACAAGCAAATGTCTCTCAACCAAAACGTACAGACCCTCTTTCACAACAATTCACACATGACATTGATGAAAATCAACATCAACAACAAGCGCAGTCATCAATAGCACAGGCAAATGTTTCGAATGATCCAATGTCGTCATTTCTTGACGTGGTTAGTAAAATACAACAGCAACAAAAGTCTAATACAGCGTCAGTGGCTTTACCTTCAGCTGCATCCGTTTTACCAACACCATCTGCAAATGCTCCAGCTGCTTCGGGCCTTGCACCAGCTAATCTTGTTCTTCAGCTATTGCAATCCAATCTCAGCAATTTACCACCAAACGTCCTAGCTCAAGTGCAGGGACAACTTGCTGGCCAAGGTAAAAATCATTCATTCGGCATTATACAACATTAACACTTATCTTCTTCTAGGTTTAGGTGCACAGCCAAATCAGGTTTTACAACAACTAGCTGCGCTACAAGCAGCTGCACAACAACAAGGTTCGCCCATGCAAACAAATACAAATTCGCCGATCTATAATGCAGCTCAAGTTAATTCGGCCAATCCATCTGTTGCACATCATGGCCTTCAGCAAGCATCACTTCATGATAATGCTTCGGTACCAAATAACAACGCATTTCCTCAAGGGGCTCCTCCACCTCTGAACCTCTTTCCACCAGGAGTTATACCACCCAATGCTCTAACAGCCCTTCTCAGCGCTCAACAGCAATCACCCTTTCAATCTGGCAATAACGCGTTGCCAGCCAATTTTCCACTTCCACCATGGATACAGCCTGCTGCTGGTCAGACTGCAGCTTTCGGATTGCAACAACAACAGCAACGTCCGTTACTTAATCATCCTCACGCACAAGATGATCAACAAATGCGTTCAAGACAACAGCCAGATTTTAATGCAAATCTGGGTGGTAATCAATATCCATCATCATATACATCCAATAACTCACGTTTAGCACAACAACGAACAAAACTGCGAGAACCCTATCTACGTGTCAAAAATCTCTCGAGAAAATATTCATATCGCGATGTTAAACTACTGTTTGCCGATTACAAATTGCGTTTAGAAGATATTAAGATGATTAATGACCAAAATGGCGAGCGAACAGGTAAAATCAGATACATATTCTTCCTTTCAACATTATCATGATAATTTGTTCTATTCAGGCGAATCAGTAGTTCAGTTTCGTTCGATCGAAGATGCTGAAGAAGCTCTATCTCAATTTAACAACGTTTATTATGGCGGTGCAAATGTACAAATTGTTCCAGCAAGTGAATATGAGTTTGCATCTTCGCTCGATTCATTTATTCCTGCATCAGTTAAAAAACGACAACCAGAAGGAGGCTTCTGTGTAAAAGTTATTGGTAAAGTTCTTCACTTGCTTCGTGTAAATGGAATTTCTTCATTTCGAAACCGTTCTTCTAGGTTTACCAAAAAATTGGTATAAACGAGATATTCGTCGCTTATTCACAGCATCGGAGATAGTTTCCGAACGAGGCATCTATCTTGATAATGACAACGATAGTAATATGGGTGGAACAGCTTACATCGAGTTTGTCAGCGAAGTCGATCTTGAAAAAGCTCTTTTCTTTCACGACGAGCATTATGGTAAGAAGAAAGATATCAGTCGAATTTTGTATATCTCTCATTCTCAATTTAGGCTCATCTCGACTGGAAATTCAACCGATTACCAAGAAAGAAATGGAATCAGATATAGCATCACTTCGTTCGAAAGATAATCGTCGTCGAGATTATTATGAAGGAGATTCAAGACCAAGAGGACGATCTCGATCACGTACGAGAAGTTTATTGCCGGTGCTTCATGTTGTCATGCTCTCATAAATTCTAGGCTCACGATCACGTTCGCCAAAAGAACGAGATACACGTCGATATCCACCTCGTGATGATACAACTGGTGACAATAGTGGAAATTCATATCCTCGACGACCCCGCCACAACGAAGGTACGTCATCGTATTACGATTTTCTGACTGATTAATATTACTATGGACGTTATTTAGAATTGCCACCAACAATAACATGTCTTCGTTTGCGCAATATTCCATATGCAACACGCGATCATGATGTTAAATCATTCTTTGCTGGAATCGAAATAGTTCAAGATGGTATTTTGTTTAAATACGATAAGACAGGTCGGCCAGCTGGTGAATGTTATGTTCGCTTTTCTTCAAGTAATGACTGCCGAAAAGCTTATGAAAAGAATCGCTCGCAATTCAACGGACGAATATTAGAATTGCGTCCATTATCCTTATGGGAATTTCAAGCAGCAACGTCACAAGAACCGGATGAATCAGGTGCCACCTTTTCGGCCAACGGAGGTTTAGGCCGACGCGATCAATTTGGCGGCAACAGCGGTGGCGGTGGCCAAATGTACCACGGAGGATCGATGGGCGAAAAACGTAAATTTCCATATGAACGTATGGATGACAATGGTAACAATGACGATAAATCACCCTCCGATCAGCAACGGTTCGATCGACGAAAGGGTGATTCATCTAGTCCGCGTGGCGGTGGCGATGTCGATAAATCTCCATCGAATATGTTGGGTAGTGGCGGTAATTCTATGGATGATCAAAATGGACGAAAAATGATCAGAAGTAATAATTCTTCATTTATTCAAAAACAACTAACACAATTACCACCGGGTTATGACCAGTATCGTGGTCAGGTTTTGTTGATGTCCAATGTTCATTTTCGTGCTACGAGGGAAGAGATCTTACAGTTTCTACGTTCGTTTCATCCAATTGAAGAAACATTAAAAATTCATCGAGATAGCCAAGGACGGCCAACCGGCCATGCAGTTGTCGCTTTAACGAATCCTGATGATGTACCACAAGCATTAAAAGAACTTAACAATGCTCTATTTCTCTTGAGAAAAATATCCGTTTGTGTGGTTTAATTGATTAGATCTGTACTCATTTTCTTTTTTCTGTGTCTTGGATGTATAAATTCATTTCCTTTTATTTTTCTCTCATGCACTCCCAGCATTTCGCTTCTCCTTCATTATCCATATTAAAAAAAAACGTATATACATATGTATGGATCAAAACTTTGATCTCTCCATTCTGTTCTTTCGAAGCACAAAGCTTTGTCTTCTTCTTTCTTGCCTGTCGTTTGTTTGTTTGGTGTTGTTGTCTACTCAACTGTTTGTTTCCTGTCCTATGTCAAGTGGACAAAGAGAATAAAACTCAAAATAGAGAAGATCTTTTTCGCTTTAGTTAATAGCACAACGTCAAGAAGTCTTTCTGCATGTCAAAGAGCACTGTTTTTTGAGAAAAGAAAGTATATGTTAGGTGAACATACATATCGACGTGAGCAGATCACTTTTATATCGTGGAGAGTAGATATCGCGTGTGAATCAGATGGAAATATACTGCTATGATTTTTATGTGAAGAACAAAATATTATTGATATTTTCATTACCTAAAGTCAAGTAAGAAACGACGTCAATGAACAATGTGTCGGTAATGAATGGCTGTAGCTTTTAATGAAAAGACGTAAATAGAAAGGTTTTTATAGAGTTTGATGATCATCAACGCGTGGGAACATGTCTCGAGGTTTGCACTCTGTATTGTTTGCAAAGAATGATTTTTTAGCAAATAAATGAGAAAGAACTCATTTTCACGAACTCGATCGTCTATGACAAGATAAGTATTTTATTCGAGAAAGATTAAGGTTGACGAAACAAGCAGTCTCAGATCCATTGTTGATAAGTTGGAGGAGCGAGAGTTTGTATATCTTTTGCACCCAGTAGTATCAAACTTCATATCATCCTTGTCGAAATTGAGAGGTTGAACTAGAGCTGTCACTTGTAAAACCTTGATTAAAACCTATCCTTCTGTTATTCTATCTCGATATTTATTATTTCTAATCTCGTATTTCTTTCCTTATTAACATGATCATCGTTTGAACAGTATGATCTATCTCGCTCGTTATTCGACAGTGTATCTTTCATGGAACACATGTGCACGTAGATAATCAAATGAAACATCATTCACACCTCTGAATGGATCGATCTGATTGCATATCTCACCGGTATAGATCAACATGTATGAAAATCAATTTTGATGACATTCAAATACAGATTGATGTTCGTATTCGATTTTTAACAAGCAGGTGCACTCCCACGAGTCGCATCAACAGCAATAGACCGTTCATCCTTNGTGTAAATACAATTGACCAAATCACTTAGAGATAAGAGTTTAAACGAACGGACGAGATCGTACAATTGCGTGACAATGATGTTCAAATAGAACAATTGAGTAGAAGAAAGAAATCTCGTCCATCGCCTTACAGCTGGACATTTCTTCAAGAGAGAAAAAGAGGAAAAAATCAAAATTCTATAGAGATTTGTTTTCTAACATGAATTAGTAATGGAGAAAAGCTCCCAAATCCAAATCAATATTCCGACTATAAATAGCAATAGCTCGTCTACCTTTTCTTTTGTTTCTAGATCAATCTATGACTGTACATTGATTTCTACAATCAAAATGCATTTGACATTACACATATTAATGACTTTTTTCCTTCCATATGCATCTTCAATCGTCTCACAAATTCTAACTCCTGTCTCGATTTTTGAAGAAAGTCCTATCTCCACGATTGTCGTCGATCTTCGACCGACATTTCAGACACTTGGTGTTCACCCCGATCAAGCAGTTCTACTTCATAGTCAACCAAGTCAACCTTTTGAATACATCAACGGACGTATTCGATTAAAGTCACGTTTAGATCGTGAAGATTACGTTCGCAAACGTTTGTGTGTCGGCGGCAATGTTCTTGAATGTAATTTTACTTTAACATTAACCGTAAATCTTAATCAACCACCATTTAATTATATTTTGTCTCAACCAATATCTTGTCATGATATCAATGATGTAATTCCGAAGTTTTCACAATCGGAATCGACAATATCCATGGCAGAAAATGTCCCAATCGGACATCGCATTCCGCTGGAGATCGCGGTCGATCTCGATTCACCACCATATGGAATCGATCATTATCGGTTAGTTACATATGAAAATCACGAGCAGCATCAATTTTCAATTGTTTATGATAATCAAAGTCGAGAGTTGGAATTAGTTGTTAATGAGAAATTAGATCGAGAAATAATCGAAAAATACATTTTTAAATTAATGGCAATCGATCGAGGATATCCACCGAATATTGGAACACAAATCTTAACAATCGAAATCAGGTAATAGAAATCGTTTTCGTTATTTATATTTATCATTCGTCTTCGTTTGATTTTCAGTGATATTAATGATTCCCGACCGAAATTTGAATCAGCAATTTATAATGTAACCGTTGCTGAAAATACTTTACCCGAATATCTACTTAAAATCCGTGCCATCGATGCAGATACTGGTCCCAACGCTGAATTAGTTTACACACTTGAAAATGATCACAATGGTCTATTTCTACTGGATAAAACCTCAGGAATTCTAACATTAACTCATTCTCTTGACTATGAATACCACACATCGTATCAACTCAAAGCTGAAGCTCGTGACAATGGATTGAATTCATTGAGTGATACATGTATTATTAATGTTTATGTTCTTGATCAAAATGACCATGCACCCTCGATACAGATGAAGTTCAATCCTACATTAGAACATAATCGCGATGGAACGATGGCTTATGTACCTGAAACATTCGATATAAATCTACCCTTAGCTTTCGTTAATGTCCATGACCAAGATTCTGCAGATTACGGAAAGGTAAGTGTGATACTTTTCTTTATTACGTTTGTTTTATTAAGTAAGAATATTACGTGAGAAACTTTGATATAGCCATAAAATCGCATCTGACCATCAGAACAGTTGTCTATTCATTTATCATGTTTCTTTGTTCATACTTTACCTAACCTTGATTACGTAAATTTTGATGAGAAGAATAAATAATTGATATTTGCTTTAGGCACAATTAACTATCGAGCCTAATCGTTTGTTTTATCTTGAAATCATTCGTCCAAATTACTATTCCGTGAAGTCCTTACATCGGCTTGATCGTGAAATCGCATCGAATTACCAAATCGAACTGCATGCACGTGATTTCGGTCAACCGAGTTTACGTCGTTCTATGACATTCGATCTGAACATCACCGATGTTAATGATCAAAGACCAATCTTTCCTTCCAACTATACATTTGAAATCAGTGAGAACAATCAAATACCAAGTGTGATTGGCCAAGTCATTGCTTACGACGCAGATCAAGGTTTGAATGGACAGATAAGTTATTCAATCGATCCTCCATCATCGTATTTTTCCATTTCGTCAACCGATGGAATCATTTCAACGAATACAACATTTGATTATGAAGTCAATCGTCAATATCATTTGCAAGTTCGAGCACGCGATGCAGGTCAACCACCATTGGATACATTTGCTTTGGTTAAAGTGAATATCCTTAATCTGAATGAATACTCACCTGAATTCGAAAAGAAGACGTATCAGTTTTTTATCAATGAAAACTCCACTAACAAATCTTCAACATTTATCGGACAAGTCAAAGCAATTGATCTTGATTATGGTGATCATGTGGTCTATTCCTTGAATGATAATGATCATTTGTTCACTATCGATCAGAATGGTAATCTTCGGACAGATGCCACATTCGATCGAGAAATTCAAGATGAATATATCGTCACCGTCATGGCAACCGATAATTCAACAATGGGCTCAATCGGATCAGCGACAGTGATCATTAAAATTCAGTAAGTCTCCATCTTTGAATTCATATTTCATATTGTTAAACTTTTCCAGGGATGTTAATGATAACTATCCCGTGTTTATTTGGCCTGATTCTGATGAAATTCGTCATATTCTCTCCGTTGATCATTCTCAACGTACAGATCCAAACAATCCGTTAGCACAGTTTTTAACCGACATTGTCGTTGGTGACGACGACATCGGCAATAACTCGGCAGTTCAATTATCGATTTCGAATAATGATTTGTTTTACATCGGTTCAAACAATTCCCTCTGGTTGTACAATTCATCGATATCGCCTGGTACATATGATATTGAAATTGTGGCAAAAAATCTCGATTTAACAACGAAAAAGATATTTCACGTTGTTATCTATAATCGCAATCCATTTCAATTGAATATCTTATCGAACATGCGTCAGACATTTTCACGTTTTCCACTATTAATTATCATTGTTTTATCGTTTATCGCAACTGGTTCAACGATATTTCTACTCATTTATTACCTATGGATGCGTTTACAATACAGTCAAAATGTTAAGAAACATTTATATGGCAGTCGATTGATTGTGAACGATGAGGATAAATCGAAGGAGAGCAGTCCCCAAACTAAACTAAATATTTTATCAACAAATCATGATTATGCTGTTATTGTTAAACAAAGAAAAGTATGTACCGAAATGACCTCTGCTGAACATATGTATAGATGAGAGGAAATCGAGTGATGAGCGTTTTTTCTCGCTCAACTGAGCAGATGAGAAGCATGTGGAAATTAATGACTATTTCTTCGACAAAAACTCATTGTAATCGTGTTTTAGAATTCACAAATACCTTCTGGAAATAGTTCGTCGACAACTGATGTGGATTTTTCTTCGTCCTTATTATCGTGTCCATTCAATGCGATTTCTTCCTCGTCGACAGATTTGAATTCTTTTCAACCGAATCCTCCATCGTCAACCGTATCAGCATTGACAACTCTAACACGAAAAGCAACACGCCGTCCACCAATGAAAAACGTCAGTTTCGAACCCACTCTAATCAATCCTGGAAATCACCTATTCGATGATGTTTTTCAATATCATTCACCATACTATCAAGAAACAACACCATCAACATTCAGTACTCTTCCCAAACAAACCAAACGTGATCTATCATCCCTAGCCGTCAGTAAATCATCCAATCAATCGAATCTTCGTGATATGCCCAAAACTCATCAAGATGGTTTTCCGACATTACAAACTGTTTTAAGTTCTTCAACTAATGAAACATCAACAAAATTTCCTCAACCACCACCTCTGCTCAATGGTATACTTCTACTCGACCAAATGCTGACAAACGATGAGAGAACTCAAACATTGTCACCATCAAACATTAGTAATAGTGGATGGTATAATGTTGCATCAAATTATCAGACAAAAGCGAGTATTGTATAATATATACATATCGATGTTGAATGTTTGTAAGCGTGTCCGCGTGCGCGCGCGCGTGTGTGTGTGTGTATGTTTCCTAGTCAGTCATTGTTTCTTTATACTGCTTTATTTGTATAGGGATTGAAGAATTACATAAATGAATACTTTTTTTTTCTCGAACGAATCTTGGAAAGTAATGTTTAATGTGCTGCGAATGAAACTCTCAAGTGGTTTGTTTGAGTTCTTTCCAAATTTGTCATTATCGTGCTAGAAAATATACGGCTGTTGTTCTCTCAAAGGTACGCAGTGACGTCTTTTGAGAGTTTTTCTAACTAATATTTTCTCATGGCTAAATCTGAAGGTCTACATACAAGAAATAATAACCATCTTTCAAGTGATTAGTGGTGGAATTTATTGACTGTTCAGGAAAATATGGTGATCACTTCTCTGCCACCGCCTTTCACAAGAATACATCGATAGATTCCTGAACATAACTGATCAACGAATTCGATGTATGCATAATCAGCATTTGTGTTCGTTCGTGGAACTTTTGGCAGATTGATTAGAACCAGTTGGGCATCAGATGATCGTTCGAGAATTATCTGATTCAATCGAGCAGCTGAATGCATTTTCTTGCGTACTTGAGAATCTTCGACGAGTGTGTGAGCCAAGCGTTTTTCTTTGAATGTTCGTTCAGTAGACGGTGTGAATGTGTAATGAATACGATCTCCGTCTAGAAGTACGAAATAATTCGATAAAATAACGATGGATGTTTCTTTATGAGAAATTACTAGGTGGATAATTCTGAAAGATTTCTTGCAAATGACTTTCTCGCTCGATTTGAATGTGCTGTTTCTTAATGTCAAATGGATTCGTATCTTTCGAATTCACGACTGTCATTGTTCGATATTTCGTAAATGCAGAGATTTCTTGGTCAGCAACCGTGATTGTATGTACTTCAGCTTGTATACGTAAATTATAAACATACTCTTCTAATTCACGTTGTCTTGATTCTGGTTCTTGATTAGGCAAACAAATTGTAAACAATCGTAGAACACATTTATTCCAAACAGGATGTTGCTGCAGTAGGAATGCTAATAAAAACAATAGCCCACCGTCATAGATTATCCACCAGATATCAATATAGCCCGATTGAATCTCTAATAAACTTGGATAGGAATCGATATTTTTTAGAAGTAAAATGGCAAATTTTTTATTTTCCGCAAGTCGAATCGAATCAAGATACGAGATGATCGCATCATCTACATGCTCTTCGACTTGATATTTTTGCCATGAACTCGGCCAATCTATATTAGTGACTGTAAGATGCCGAGAAATGAAGGTAATCAAGACTTACCAAACATGACCTATGAGTACAAAAGATAATGAACATCTTTCTGTTGATCGGATTTCATTCTTACCGTATTTGGACGAAATCCACTCACACCACTTGTTTGCATGATGGAGTTAATTCCATCGTAGACATTATTTGTCACAAGAACATCAACAAAACCATTGAGAATCTTATGAATAATCATTTGTTCTTTCAAATACTCTCGTAATTGTTCAGCAACATCACGTTTCTTGTCATATCTACCTGTACACAACTCACAACTGTCATGTCTTGTTCTCATCTATTTAAATCAGACCTTCGATCACCGTTGCAAGAATGACTAAACCTTTGCCAGCCTTTAATTGACTTAAAAGATTAAGAACATTCTCGTGCTCGATCATCCATCGATGTTGACTTTCATTGTAAAGACATTTCAGAAAAACTAAGATCTGCGGTCGAAAATTCTTCGTGTGACTTGCCTGATCGCTCAAATGTGATAGAGCGACATGTGCTATGGATATCGGTAAACCTTTCAGACCTTCTCCCCATTCTTTATTTGCTCCCGAATACCAGATATAGAGATAAACTATTGCACCCACAGCTAGTGTGATCAAGGCCATCAGCCATGATGATATAAACATGATTGCAATACAAACAATGACGCCAAGCAGTGATAGAAACCAGTGATAGAAATGAAAACGTGGTCGCCATGATGGTTCCTCTGAGAAAGATGTACGAAATAGGAAGACTTGTTTTCTGTGTTGGAAAGAAAATCTTACGGAGAAGCGTTTGTAGAAAACAGACGAAATTTACCGATAAGTAACACATAAGAAAGAATTCGGATACGATCGCTACATGAGAACAGATCAGAATGGAGAACTTTCTTCAGAAATAATTTAACTTACTTGTTACTATATCAAAGTTAGCGACAAGCACACTGATTTCCGACAGGAACAATGTGACTAACAAAGCTCTAAATGGTTCGTTTCGAAATGTTAATTGAAACGGTGTCAATACTGGCATAATATCATCTTTAGCAACAGATTGTAATAAACGTGGAGCACCGATTAAACTAAAGTTTGTAAGATTATCATCTGTAAGTTCAGAATGAAGTTCTCACCATTGTAAACCCGCACCAAAACATGCCGACAATGCTCCAATAGTGATCACATACGGCGATGGCCAGGCAATAACTGCTTCGACAAGTTGTTGGTTAACACTTAGACCATCTCGATCGCGTAAAAGTACACCCTGAATTGAACAAGCGAGAAGAAAAGCAATGAGAATATAAATTATCGATGTGGTTATGACAGCCACTAGAACATTTGCATGCATTAGCAAAGGTCGCTAATATGGAGAATAAAGCTCACGGATAGTTCCTCGTGGAATCGATTGACTAGGATCTTTTAGATCACCACTTCTATTGGAGCCAGCCATGATACCTGTTACACTAGGAAAGAAGATTCCAACTAGAAAAACAAGCCGTTTTTATCAATCATTTGATTGAATATTTCATTTGCCTAGTATAAAAAACGATGTTGTTGCTTTACTAACAACTTCAACTTTTGGATCTCCTAAAGAATTGAATCTTTACGACAAACAGAAATCTCTTTCTCTACTAACCATCAAGTCCATTTTGGATCTTTCCTTCTTCGATATGCATCGATTTGAAATTATTACTGAATTGTGAATTTTTCAAACCAGGTATTCCATTGATCAAACGAACATTACCCAAATCATTACAAACAATAGTACTACTAATATTATCCACACAGAAAACCTGTTGTAGTGGACAAAGATCTCCGTCACATGTAACATTTGAATGACAATAACGTGCAACATTATCTTTTAAAACGGAAGATTTCAAAAGATGTCTAATATGATCTTTTTCAATAATACATATCGGTAAATAGATCGGTGTGATCGCACTCTTTATAATACCAACAAGAATAGACAAGATCGAAAGAAAAACAATGAGCAACGTGAATGGAGCTAAATGGAAATGAATAGTTTTTCGAAGTTATCATGAAATACTTACCAATACGTGAAACGATTTTGATACCGAGAAAAACAATCATGCCGAGAAAACAAAGAAGAATTGTTCCATATAAACGATAATGATTAAAAGCACTCTGCTGATTTTCAATCGATGGGCCAAATAAATGACATTTATTCGGACATGTATATTTGAGGAGTATTTCACTTGCTCCCAAAACATACAAGCCACCAGCTAGAGCATTGCCAATATAGAATAAAAATCCTACTGCACCACCGACAGCTGGACCTAACGATCTTGATATTAGAAAATAAGAACCGCCTGCAGGTACAATACCATTCGTGGCAACTAGATGTAAACAAAAACTGAAAATAAATCAATAGGTACTGCGCTCATGTTGTTACTTGCAGCCAGTGAGATAGCCGTAAGAAAAGTACAAAGACAGCAAAGTCCGATGATGAGCATTCCTTGAAGAATTCCACTGACACCGATTACCCAATACAGCCGAATAAAAACGATGACTCCGATAATATTTTGTACACATGGAAGATACACACCAAACAGAGTATTTAACTGAGTACCCGAGGATAATATTGGTCGTGTAGACAGATTGTCAATATTGGACATAAATGTACCACCTTGATAATCATAGAGATTCTTGAGAAAGCCAGCTTCCTTTTCAATAGCTAGCTGTGCTTCAGTGTTATTTTCGTCATCGTCTGATTTGATTAGTTCAATTGTCGGTATTTGTGATCGATCTCGTACGAAACTTGGTTTTATATCTTGATGATTTTGCTGTTCGTTTTCAGAAGTTTTCGTCGTTTCTAAAATTACGAATATAGAACTAAAAAATGCCTATTCGGTCAGTTCTACCGAATACCTTCATCAATCTCGTCGATATGAACAACTTTGAATCGACCTTTGGTACCGGCAATCGATCCAGTGCCATTCAAGTCTGCAGGATCAGATACAGCGGTAGCAAAACTGTCCAAACTCATTAGTTCACATACATATATTCATTAGAGTTTCATTAAGAGTAAGAGTATAAACTCTACAGATGTCTCTCCATTGCATTTCTTGATTAGCGACAGTTAAATTTTGAAAAACGTATAAATAACAGAACTGTTGCCAAGCATCAGTCAATACGAATGGTAAGAGATTTTATCTTCATTCGTACAACTTCTTCACAGGATCATGACACAGATTGTTTCATCGAAACCTTATTGTCTTGAAAATTCTACTCAATTAACTCGTCCAGCTTCTGAAACATTCTATCGTATCTCAGGTCACAATGTACCGACGATTATCGACAAACAGCAAGCCAAACGTTTGTATCGACTTCAGCAAGCACCAAATATAGATGCACGTGTTCAATTGGATACATCTGACGTTGGTTATGATAGACAAGGATATTTCGAAAGTGTTGTGCGGAAACAAGTCGGTGACAGCGCTATGCAACCAACTCAACAAGTGTTCCATCGACCAACGGACATGTCGAATGCATCATTGGCACGATTCTCACTTGGCAAAGCTCGGCTTGATCCTCAAAGAATTGTACCAAGTGAAGTAACGACACTACGCAATCATCCATCTGCGGTAACAATGCTCCGGTTTGCTAGGATACTGTTGATCTTTTCCGACTAACCGAAAATTGTTTTCTCTGTAGACATGATCAAGGTCCCACAGAAGAAATTGTACCACGTTATACAGAAAGATTAGTAACAGATCGCGCTCTTCGTGGTCGACTTGGTCCAGGAGGTAAATTCGAATTGTTCTACAAATATTGTACCAAGTTGTATATTTCGTCAGGTGTTTTGATTCCTGAAGAAGATTGTAGAGAAGCTGAAATCTATCTTAGAAAATTAGGTCGCTCATCAGCTCCCGCAAGTCTAGTTCAACAGTCAAGATTGAATCAATCGGGTAATCAATTATCAAAACGTGATGAACTCGCCCGGCGTTTTATGTATACTTCAACTCAACAAGCTGCTTTCGATGAAGTTGCATGGGGTTCGTTCAAAACTACTTTCATTAATTTTAATTAAGCAAATTCTCTTGTCTATTGTCGCATAGATTCAAAATTACCACCAAAACTACCTATGCCATTGTCTACGTATGAAGTTAACGGAAGTGATCCAGTTTTACAATCAAAACGTCTAATATCACTTCAAGACGCACGTACACGTCAAATCCTTGAATGGGATCGTGTACAATTGCGAAATGTTAATTTCTATCGAAAACCTCTCGAGAATGTTGCACCATTACCACGTGCACATCACATATCCGGTTATTCAGGTTGTATCGGTGGTAATAATATACAAGATATCGATAATCCAACTGTTGATTTTCAACCATATACAATCGTTCGTAGTGATCAGCCGAAGTTCGGTATCAATCCATTGTAAGTTTACCTTTCTTTTACTCATCGATTGTTTTTTCCTCAACAAAAATCTTTCAGTAAAACAAATATTCCATTCTACACGGGCAAATCTCATTGGACTAAGACTACACCGGTATCACACTACGATTCGCAAGGTCAAGCTTACACCACAACAGCTGAATACCATAAGTATGCTTGGATTCAATCTCTTGCTTGATTGTCAAAGATTTGGGTGTTTTTAGACCTCTTTATGTTGATGAACCTATACAACGACATACGGATCAAAATGGGCAATTATCTCGATCAGTAACGACAGTTGTTCCCCAAAATCCGTTCAATAAAATGGATAATACTTGTACAACAACTAACGGTTCATTAGATAGTCGCTCGCATATTGTCATGAGAGATTTACCACGAAGCACATCGTCACCATCAAAAACGGCAAAAGCAAATGAAAACAAAACAGAAAAGACTGAAAATAATCAAATGAAGAATTGAACAAGATTCTATGAGACTTATACGTTTTTCGGTGCTGTTCAGTTTCTTTTTTTCATTCTATTCCTATTTTAATACTTCAATAAATTCACTGCATGAGACTTATCAAAAGACTTTCTTTTCCATAACCTGATCAAGTTCTCATGAGTATCATCGCACGGAGCAAACTGTGATTTCGTCGAAGATGGCGCTGTGTTTAGTTTTGATTATGTCTGATGTTGCCAGGTTTCACTAGACGTAAATGTCACACATATGGTGTTTGTATAAGCACCCGATATTTACCTAAATTTTAATTCAATGTCATATTTTGTTTCAATGAAATCAATACAATGAATAACCTTGAAAGTCCAATAGACATTCCTAACGATCGCGTTCTTTTGGCTGATAATGCGGATGAGAACAGTCTTGATCAACTTATAGCTAAAGCTCGACAACAATGTTCTAACTGTCTTGATCTTTCAAAAAGAAATCTCACTCAATTTCCTACGCAACTTCTTGATTTTTCTTCATTGCAAGTAAATCCTTCTGTTTGTTTTCACTTTCAAACCTCTTTTCTTGATATAGTACCTGTACTTAGAAGGAAATCAACTGAAACAATTGCCTAATGATCTTTTTTTACGGTTATCTGATTTGAAATGGCTTGATTTGCGTCATAATCAATTAACTTCCATTCCTCATGAAGGTCTTGCTTCGCATTCATCTCTCCAATATCTTCTTCTCAGTGGAAACAATCTTCGAACATTGCCTCATGAGCTCGGTAAAGTGAAAACCTTATCTGCCTTAAATCTCGATGGGAATCCACTGCAGCATCCTACGAATGAAATTGTCAAACAAGGCATCAAAGCCGTTCTACAATATCTACGTGATGAACTCCACACAGATGATGATTTATCTCTATCGGATAATGAAAATCTTCAACCTACACCAAGATATTCTCCTCGGAAATCCAGGTAATTAGTTAGATTAACGAAAAGAACAACACTACGAATGTTTATTTCAGAAGAAGAATAACTTCGATCGACGACGAAGAAGTTGACAAGTTTTCTCATCCAAATCTCTCTCCACTCCGTGTTCAGTCGTGTAAACAATACGACCGAATTAGCTATTCAGCAAGACATTCTATTTCGCCACCGCATTCAGCAAAGAAATTAACTCAAGTGTATGTGCTAAACATGTTTCCCTCGAGTATAACTGGAATTTTGTTTAGAACACAAAATACAATAACAAAGAAAAATAACGATCGACAAAGAGATGTTTGTACAGCTCAAGAACAAGCACTCAAGAATATGCAAGTGAGTCGCTGTTTCTCATACATCAACTTGTTAAAATTGATTTGTCTGGATTTTTTCAAGCCTCAAGAAACAAGAACTGATAGATCGCGACAACAAATACGTCCGAAAAGTTTTCTTAAACATAAAGGTAAACTGTGTTCGGAATGAGAAGATTCAAAATAACATTACTGCATTAGAATCGAAAAAGCCAATTGCTCCAACTGCATCTTTGATCAATCGTCGGTATACGCGAATGGTTAGTAAAGAGCAATTCGAATTTCTTCGAACTCTCTCAGCTGAATACGTTGGAAAAGAAGATGAAGTCAGGTAAATCGATGTTCTCTTTCAACACACAGTAGAATTCACGCGAATTTGAACTCTAGACGTGGTTGCGATCGACAAATTCACAATGATATTCGTAATATTACTGATAAAATGCTCAAACGTCGACTAGAAACACGAGAAAGTATATTCGAAGAACGACGTCAAGTAAAACGTGAAATTCAAGAAGTAATCCACCATCTCTCTCTGTTTCCACTTGATTCTCAACTTTCCTTTCAGCTTCGTCGACTTGTTTCCGAAGGTAAACAACATCGACCACCGCCGGTGACCAATCGTCCGAAAACAGACACTGCCACCGCCAATCCGTACGCGAGAAAATCTTGACTTGCCTTTTGCTTACTCATTCAATTCAGCACAAATAAATGTATTTTATTTCATGTTGTTATATTATACACACAAAAGCAGAAGAACCCGTAAGAAAAAGAAAAGACGATGGCCCGTGATTAGCACTGTATAAGAAATAGAAACAAAAGAAGAACCCGCATGACTCTAAACCGGTGATCGAGAGTATATTCAGGAATGAACAACCATTTTGTACATATCTTTGACAAGCTGTTCCATATGAGTTTGATCTCCGATTGTCTTTCGAAAGAAAATCTCTTCGATCATCGACGATGAAATAAAACGAAATGAAGAAATCAATGTAATCAATTTCAAAAATCGATTATCTTCTAACGGATATTGTTTATTTATATAAGCATTCAAGAGAATTTGTGCTTGATTTTGTAAATAATGAATTGTATGAAGATCGGTTAAGTTCGAATTGATCATTGTTTGACAATTGTTTAAATGTGTTTTGAAAAGAACTAAATTTTTCAAACAAATCAGTTCATTTCCATCGAGTTTCAACTGTTTGGCTTTGGCGAGAATTTCTTGAAAATTCGCAATATCAGATTTATAAATTTCGCATTTCTCATTCGAATACATAAGGTCATTAGTATTCAGAGTAAATTGTTGTTCGATAGCGGTAAGAATGAATAGATCACGCCAACTTTCTTCCAAAAGACTAGTCTAAACAAGAAAATAGAATGTGAACCGTGAATTCGATCAAACATACTTGATCACAATTGGCTAGAGATGTAAATGCTGGTACTGTTTTAGTCCAATTGATCGCATTGAATAGAATCTTTGCTGCTGATTCATGATGATCAATCATTGGAAACTACGAACGAATGTGAATGAAAAAGAAACAAATAAAATTATGGGTATCTACTTTCGGTAGCGATGTTGGATAAAGAGATATTGATTGACATCTTTGGAGGTGATACGCATTTATGATATCATTAGATTCTTTGAGTAAAAGCGCCATTTGTTTTCTTATTGTCGAGTTTCGTGGTCCGCGTTCATGTTGTACAGCTAACGGAGAGAAGAATTGAGAAATGATATGTCTTCCTGCAAAATAGATAAATACCTTCTTTGTTCATGCCGGCTTCCAGGCAACGTCTTAACCGACAGCTACGGCATTGATTTCGATGGGTTTTATCTACAGGACAATCGCCTTGACCGTGATTTTTGCAGACATATTGACGATTTCTTCGGATGGATCGTTTGAAAAATCCGGCGCATCTAGTCAAAAGAATTTTTACTTGAAAAGTCGACGAAATTTCATCAGAGAATTACCCGTCGCACGCAAATATTCCATAATGTTTCCCAGATGAATTATCGTGACAGACTTTGCACGGAACGTCAGTCAAAATTCGGCCTAGATTAACGAATTATATTCAATTACAGAGAATCAAACGAAATCTGATCTTCTTCTTTTCACTCACTTGATGTTGCACTCATTTGTCGATGTCCGTTCATATTCTAAAATGGATAGGTTACTTTTTTTCAAAAGAGAGAGAAAGAGAACAACAAAAAGTCGAGCTATTCATCGAATCAACACGCAGACGAAATCAATTCATTGGATAGTATGCTCTATAAGCATATATTTCTCTCCTTCTCTCTTTCACCTTAATTCAATCACATAGAAAGAAGAAGAAGAAAAAAAATGGAATCTTTCTCAATAAAACGTATGGACAATACTTCTAATTGGTCATTAAAGCATTCTCCTAATGATAGGTGAGACAATGGGATCACGACCTCGCCAATCGATATGTAAATACCGTCTTCAAGATCCTTGTGCTAAGCTTCATTCTCTCATTTAATGACGAAGGTATCTTTACGTTCTTTCCTCTCTCTCTCTTTCCCTCTTCTTCATGAATTGTCAATCGACAAATAGAAATAATTGCATACATCATATTGATGTCTGGTCTATTTGCAAAAGAAGAAATTACTATTCGATTATACTACTAGTTCCATTCAAACGATAATAAGCACAAACAAATAACACGAGCAAAGAAATGAAAAGAAGAGCAACAGTATTTGAATAACAAAGCGAACGATGTTGATCGTACTTGATCAATATTATATGCGCGCCTATGACTTTATTAGTAGAATATATGTGCGAGGTAAATCAAGTAAAAACGCTGCTTTCTTGATTTATGTACATACATATATAAATACCTAAATATACATACACACGCATTGAAGACTGATGTCATTTATCCGTCACTAATCTCTGGACATGATCGAACAAGTTCAACAGTATAGATTTCCACAAGGTTGATCTTATGTCATAGGAAATTGTTTTTGTGTAAACAATTGAATCAGATTGATATATGCATGTCAATAGCGAATCAATAAAAGAAAAAGAAAGTTGAAATGTAACTGCTAAACATTTTCGTTGACCTATGAGTAGGATTTATTCATGAAATTCGACTTTATTGAAAAGAAAAGATGTATTGTTCCGTACACGAGTAGTCGTTTTTTTTTTATTGAGATCATGTCTATCTGTGCGTGTGTCTATAATCCTTTGCATTGCTGAAGGAAGGTGAAAAAGAGAAATAATAACAATGGTGATTTAGCATGGGAGGGTCAAATCAAGCATCCTTGATAAGTTTCATATATGTACATATATTGTTTAATGATCAAACATTCGAATTGTCAAATGACCATATCATTTCTCAATTACCAACCGTGTCGATTTTGCCGCTTATTCATTATCAACAATGGTGGTGGATATAGTTTATATCTCGCAGGTGACCATCGTTTGATCCTTGAAGCAACGAGAAAGAAAGAAAGAGAAAGGAAACATATATCTCAATTTACAAATTGTTTCACGCTATTGTCCTAATTGCAGGAGGGGGAGGAGGGTGCAATGTTGAAGTGATTGTCATTCAACATCTGTATACAGATATCATGCATTGTTAACGAACAAGAAATCATCTCTATGAAGTTTTATGCAACACACGCTCAATGAGCGACATCATCAGAAAGAAAAAGAATTCCATTCGGATGCAGCAGGAGATGAAGGAGGATGGTTGGCTAGCAACATAACATCTACAAGAC